CCCCGACAGAAAAATGAAACGAAACCAGTCCTGAATATGAGCGTCTGAGAAGAACACATTAAATACAATAGAAGAAACACAATAAATCACGGACTACGTTTTAGCTTAGGTTCTCACAATCTGTAGGGGCCTTAAAAAATTATCATTTTTTCCCCACAAATGAATTTTTGGCTATCTTCCGAACAACGGTCCCAAATTATCGATCCCGAAAATACATCCTAACAGGACCTCAGTCACATGTAAATTGCGGATCTCTTTACGGCGACTTTACCGCCACCGCCGAGAGTATCTCTTAACTAGATGGCTGGGACTCACTAGCAAATAAAATGGAGGAAGCTGCATGAGATGCGCTAGCGTGATTCCCAGACGTCTAGTTTAGCCCCGGGAGATACCCTCGGCGGTGACTTCAACTCGGCGGAAGCTTTTCTGAGAGGAAAAAACATTAAATACATATGACGGCAGCAACCGTCATGAAAACCCGTGCTCTGATTGTGGCAGACTGTCTTAACGAGGGAGGCTCTTGCTAGCCACACTCGACATCGCCATGGACTATTTCACAGGCCGCCTCATAATGCAATTTAAAACTATGGTCTGGAAAGACGGAAGCTGCCAACGAAGTACAAAATACAACACAAACTGTGATTGGAAAACTGAACGGACAAGAGAAAACAGCTTATTAAAAAAATCCTCGAAAGTTTTTCTTTTTTATAAATTATTTAATTTGATTTTCATTGACTTCATTTTTTTTTATTTATTATATTATTTATTAGCTCTTTTGTTCAATTAGGCAATAAAAATAACAATAAAAATTATAAATATTATTTTTTTGTTATTATTGCGCAATGCAACAAGGCTTGGAACCCTCCACGGACCCTAGCAAATTACGAAGGCGTACATTTGTCGATGCTCTCCAGGCCTACCGTCACCAATGTATTTTTCTGAGGGGCGGTTCTCATCTGGCTTAAGCCTTGCTTAAGTGCGCAGTATTATTATTATGTAAGTAAAGGCCGCTTTACACGCTGGTGGCGCATCAGGCACATGAGGCCACACTAATGGTTTTATAGACATCAATGAGCGATGGAGTCAGCATCACAGGGCCGTCGTTACTTCCCAGGACTTTCCCAATACTTTCACATTTAAGGCTGAGTCGACATGGCAGCCATGATCATGTTAGAAGCAAAAACCGTCTTCATGCTGGTTCAAACCCACACCCTTTGGATCTCTGAGCAAGCGTTTGTCCGCTACATTAAAGGGGCTTCTGTTGTTAGTATGCCTATGTGCTAGTCTGCAATTAAATATACTAATATATTTCAACTAAATGAAATATTAAAAACAAATACTTTAAAAGGGGGAGGCGCCTATACACAGTTAGGGTCACCCACTGAGATGTATGTGAGCTAAAAAGTTCGGTGAGCTGGATGCCTGGTTTAAGCCAAAGGCAGGTAAGCTGTCCTGGAAAGGGCATGACAAGCCTCCAAACACCATAGGGGTTCAAATGTTAGTTGAGTATCCTTTACACGACGTTGCAGAACCAATTTTACGGCCAGTAGTTTGCCATTGCTTCCTGGACGGTCGGCTTTCTTGATACCACTGTCAAAGCCAATGCAAGGCGCATGGTCCGCAGCTGGGATCGAACCCGGCATCCCGGCATTACGAAGCGTTCGCATCGACTTAGCCACAGAGCCGACAAACATCATATGTACTACCAATATCTGGCAACATGTTACCCCCCATTTTTTTTTTTTACAATTGTAGTGATGGTTGTTGTTTACCTCTAGGATTGTCGTCAGTATGATTAACACCAAACGTATGAGAATCAAACAGGAGCATGTTTAGGAAACACTGTTCAACTGTATATTAGTTTTTAGAGCACCCCTAAAGTTATCAAGAAACGTGCAGATTAGTGTGGGAGTGGGATTGGTTAATTAATTAGAGTAATATTAACATTAGTACCCGACAGTTTTATATTCCGGGGGACTTTAGATGGTCAGAGCCGTTTCACCCGGAAGCAAAAGAAAGTGCAAGAAACTCAGAAGCAGTGTTGCCACTTTGGATCTTTTGTATCCAAATTTAGATCTTTTTCATTGCGTTTAGATCCTGTTTTTGACGTTTAGATACTAAATATTTTTCTAGATACTTTTCATATGGAGTTAGATATTTTATAGATTTTTTTCTTTTAGTGTAATTTTAATAATTATTGAGTAAAATATTTACTAAAATATTTTTGTTTTGGTCTGGCACGTACATTGTGGCAACTGCCATTACTTTAACTTTGAACTCTCACTAAGGTCAACACTCAAATATCTGACAACCCCGGTGCTGATTAATCGAAATCGCGCGTAAATCATACTAACTTTGTTTCAACCGTATCCTCACTGTGTTGTGAAGTATAGCTGTGATGCTGACTCTGTGTTTCTTTTTCATGTGATTTTTAAAGAATAATTGCTCACCTTCTTGTGTGGCTTTCACTTTGAAAAAACCTTTCAACATGCCAAAAGTAAAGTATGAGCAAAAATTTCGGAAAGAGTATTTGCATGATGACAAAATTAAAGACTGGGTGATGGCAGTTCCTTGGGATATAACCAAGGCTCGTTGTAAGTACTGCAAGTGTGAAATTAAAGCGAAAATACAAGACTTAAAGAAACATGCAGAGACTAACAAGCATAAAACTGCAGTTCCATTCAAAGATATTACACCGCTGACATCTGTTTTCAGAACTACACTGATAAATGAATCATCAAAAGTTGAAGGGTCGGTCGCAATGTTTTTAAGTTGCCATTGTGCAATTTCAAACTGTGACCATTTGATTGATTTGTTTAAAAACACAATTTCTGACAGTAAAGTTATGGATGATGTGAAAATGCATCGCAGCAAGTGTACACATATTATAAGAAATACTTTATTTTCTCACTTCGAAAAAGATTTGATCAGTGATATTTCTACAAATAAATATAGTTTATTATTAGACGAATCAAATGATATTTCGGTACTGAAAATGCTTGGTGTGTGTATTTTATGTATTACAGCAACAATACAGACAACGTAGTTTCTACATATCTTGGACTGATTCAATTGGAAAAGTGTGATGCAGAAAGTATAGTTCAGGAACTGAAGAACCTTTTAATCAGCAAACAGTTAGACTTGACAAATTTGGTTGCAATTGGTACCGATAAATCCTCAGTGATGGTTGGCATAAACAATGGCGTTTATGCCAAGTTGAAGGAAGCTACCCCATCGTTAATTCTTATAAAATGTATGTGTCATTCATTGCAGCTAGCATTATCACATGCTTCATCTGAATGTTTACCAAGGAATTTGGAATACCTTATTGCTGAAATACATAACTGGTTTTCAAAATCATTTGTCGGACAACAGCAATACAATGCATTGTATTCAGCCTTAAATAATGGTTCCACACCACTGAAAATTCTGTCAGATTGCAAAACCAGGTGGTTATCAATACAACCAGCTGTTGAAAGAATTGTGAACCAATGGTTGGAGTTAAAGACACACTTTGAAATAACAAGACAAAGTGAAAAGTGCTACACAGCTGAGATACTATATGGAATGTACAGTGATGAAAAAAATTTGGCATTCCTTCTCTTTTTACAACCTATTCTAATGGAAGTGCAAAAAGTTAATAAACTGTTCGAATCCAAACATGTTGATAAAGTTAAATTACTTGACGATCTCACTTTGCTATTTTACTCAGTTGGTAAAAGACTGGTGTTGCCAACTTCAAAAGTTGATTTGCTCACTTGCACTATAGAGAGCTATTTGGCTCCTAAGCCATACCTTGGATATCAAATTGAATCAAAAATTGATGATTTAAAAACAAAAGGACTGTTAACAGAGAATGAAGAGAACAACTTAAGAAAACGCTGTCAAGATTTCCTTATCTCATTGTTCAAGCAACTAAAGCAGAGACTTCCTGAAAATCTAGATGTATTGAAACATATTTCACTCTTTTCTGTGAGCAACATACTTCAGCCAGTAAAGGACATACCTATATATTGTAAAGTTATGCAATTTTTAGGGGCTACTGACAATAGTGTCACGGAAGCAGAATATCAGTTAACCAAAATAAACTTAGTTGAATGGACAAACAAAACAGAAACTGAAGCGTTTTGGAGTGAAGTGAGACAATTTAAAGATGCCTCATCAAACAGTCCATTCTGTAAACTCTTTGAATGGGCCATGTCTGCCATGATACTACCCCACTCAAATGCTGACGTAGAAAGAGTTTTCAGTGCTATGAATTACATCAAATCTAACCTCAGAAACAGGATGAAATTAGACCTCTTAAATGCTATCTTGACAATAAAGTTTGGCCTGATGAGAATAGGAAAATGCTGTTCCACTTATCAGCTCCCTGATTGTGTATTAAAAGAAATAGGAACAGCTAAAGCATACCAGAGTAATTTGGGATCTGAAGCTTCAACTTCATCATCCTAGCTAAGTTTATCCTGTGGATCTTGTGAAGAGGACATCAGTGAAGATGAGGACATGTGTCTATAGGGTAAGTCATTTCAATAGTTTTGTAATTTGTGACTCTTTTCATTTGGATATTTTTTTAAAATATTTTCCACGCAAATTTAGATCTTTTTAGATATTTTTTTACCCCGTTTTGGATCTTTTTTGTCAAAGAAAAGTGGCAACACTGCTCAGAAGTTAATTATTGTAAACTAATGAATGTTGTCTGTCAGCGTCCAGGGCTGTAATTAATACTCAAATAAAACAGCCTTATAACATCCCCTCAAACATCGCACAATGTAGCTTTAAGTATTTATTTTATAATGAGAACTTGTAAACAACAGTGGTACCTCGTTAATTCTGAAATTTTAAATATTAATATCAAAATTAATTAAAACTAAAACGAATAAATGAATAAATTTTAAATTATAAATTACCTGGTGAATACTGAATGACTTGGAAAAAGAAAGATTGTTTATTAAACTTCCAGAGGCAATATTATCAAGATTTGATTAAAAATAAATAACATGTCTGTTAATTATGCATCGGGATTGTCACCATACGACAATAAAGGAAAATGTGGACTTCCAGAAACATTTGATTCACCAGAATTGTTGTCAAGCAAACTGCAGGAGCTAGCTGATTTAATGAGAAGTAGCAAACATATTGTTGTTCACACTGGGGCGGGTATCAGCACCTCCGCTGGGATTCCTGACTTTAGGGGCCCGAAAGGTATGTGATTTAGAACTTTGAGCATAATGACATGTGTACATACATTGTAAGGGATGTGGTAGCCCAATGTTCAAATTTCTACCAAACATTGACCTGGACTGTGATATACACCAATCAGAGAAAGGGGGAAATTAGCTGGGAAGTAAAGACAGTCATTTACTAGCAGTACCTCAGCATTTGTTTGCTTCTCTGCCCTCTATGTTTTTTGTTTCATATAGAGAGATGATGTCTTCTTTATCTTTCTAGAAAGAGTGAAAACAGTATGATTACTGAACACACATCCTTTTTCACTATGCTTTCACCCAGTGTCAGTGAGATAAATGAACTTATAATACATTAATACTCCAGAGGAGGGATTTTTTTTTCTATTAAAAAAAGGTGTCTATACTCCCCACTAAGTGTCTTTAACAGGTGTCAGTATTCACCCCAGTGTCTATTGCAGTAGCGCTAAAAAGAATATGCCTGGTAAAAAAGTTGGCGGTACTGCACACCATTCCATACTGCAAACCCTGGTCTTGGGTAAACTAGAATACAGTGAATAAATCAGGGCTATTCAACTGGCCGCCTGCTGACTAAATCTGGCACGCACAGACCTAGAAAATAGCTCATGAATCATTGGAATCCGCATTGTATTAGTGCTCAAGAGCCGAACAGCAGAATGGGGGCACAGGACAGGACATAAGAGACACCAAGGACAGGAAAGTGCATGAGGGAGGATAGCTGGGAGGGACCAAGTTTCTTCTAGGTGGGCCATGATGGGAGCAGTCTTCTGTAAAGGACCTGCTACAAGGTGATGATGTAAAGGACCTGCTACAAGGTGATGATGTAAAGGACCTGCTACAAAGTGATGATGTAAAAGATCTGCTACAAGTTGATGATGTATCATGTAGCAACAGAATTCAGTGATTAAGAGGGGAACAGTAACATAAGACTGTTAACAATAATCATTACAGAACTGATTCATTGTTGTTATAATATGCCCTACTGATTGTCAAAAACACATTTGCTGGTCATTGTTGGTGTCACACAAAGTGCAGGCCAGTGTTTCATATTACCTCTAACAAATACAATCTTGTTTGTGTAGCTTGTGTCTCTTGAAGTGGCACATTGACACCTTACTTGCTTGTCATTAAACTTGAGCATAGAACTGCTTCCCAATTTCTTCTTCTTCTTTCTTCTTCGCGTTCACCAGCGGTACACTCTGGCGGAAGGTTCTGGTTGCTCGTCCACTACTGAACTGCAGTCCTGCTCCAGAACCTGAGTGTTGCGTGTGCATCAGTTTTACAAATCTCATTCTCTTGAATACAGACTGTTGGTTCCTTGCCTCTCCGGCAGATGCACTCCGACTTCAAAGGAAGCTCCCCAATTAGTCGACTCTTACGACATGCTTTTTGGGAGGCAGTGGGTCTATTCTTGTTTTCCCCACAATGGGGCCCCGGAACCCACACGGGATGCTTCCCAATTTTAATTGACTTGATTCACTTTCGATTTTGTTAAAATGACATATTTTTACTCCTGTAAAATTTTGTGGCTTGGAGATTAGAGAAGGATTTTAACAGTTTCAAAATCCTCAAGTACTGTGGTTAAATTTCTGTGACAGATGGTTTAAAAGCAAAAAAGTTTTCTTGGATTTCAAATGATTACAAAAATCACACCAAGAAAAAGATTGGGGCTTCACCAATAATATTTGCAAAGACAACAGTGGGTTTACCGTAGCCAACCTTCATTGTCAAGATAGCACATATTTTAATTAATTAATGAAATTGAACCTTGCGGCTTCTTGAACCTGGCATGTTGAATTTTAAGTTAAGAATTAAAATCCCAGTGCTCAGGACATTCCCGTAAATGCTGCATAACCATCTTTATCAGTAATTGCTGAGTTCCAGTTATGATGGCACTAGTGACAGTCTGATTGTGTATCTGTCTTACCTTTTTCCATGAGTGCCGAGTGTCAGCTTGGTCACTCCTCGCAGCACCATTCTCTTCAGACTGGTGATCTGTTTGTGCATCCGTACTGTTCAGTCACTCCTGAAGTACCCTTACAACATCCAGCTTGTTGTGCATCAGTTCACCACCGAGTGGCGCAGAACCAGCCAGTCTATTTGCCGTTCATTTTCGAACGAACCGGTGTGACGTAGAGAAAATATGCTTTTAAATGACACGGCTACCTGGGACCTCTGAAGCGATGCCTGTCACTCTGCGAAGAGTATATCTGTCTTCACCTTTCTGAACACACTCTGAGTCAGTTATAACATTTGAGTACATCTGGTTCTCAAGCAAGTGGAAGGTTGTAAAAACTGCCTTCATGTCTAGTCTCGAACCAGATATTAGTTGCACTAAGCAGGGTCCATTCACTTTTGCTATGAACTCCAGTGGACTTTGTCTGCATGTCAACACAGAACTATATATTTAGATAATCACATCACCTGGGCGGGAATCGTTTGAACCTGGCAATAATATAAAAATAACAGAAACCACAGAAAACTTATATTAAGGAATATATACATTACCACACCAGAAAATTTTTATTAAAGCTGTTTTTCCCCATTTATATTATCAGGTGTTTGGGCTTAAACTAAAAAATAAAAATAAAAATTTCCACAACTTAATGTATGTAATACATAAACATATTAAGGTATATGTGCATTGCTGCTCCTTATAAACTGTATTCAAACCAGGTTGTTTTTCACACTTATGTTTTCAGGTGTTTGGACACTAGAAGAAAAAGGAGAATTTCCACAGCTTGATGTAACATTTGATTCTGCAGAACCCACAGTAACCCACATGGCACTTGTTGCACTTGAGAGAGCAGGTATTTCATATAAATCAGTAGATTTCTAAACAGTTATGGTTGTTGAAAACAAAAAGTATTTCCATAGTTGTTGTTAGCATTGTTGTTTTTTTTAAGCACCAAATAAAAATAATATTGCCTGTTGTCTGTTCATTGAAGTATGGTAGTAATGTCTTGCCATAATTTGTTTCAGGAATAGTGAAGTATGTAGTCAGCCAGAATATTGATGGACTTCATCTTCGATCAGGCTTCCCACGCAATAGGTTGTCAGAACTTCATGGAAACATGTTTGTAGAAGAGTGTAATAAATGTGGTTTTCAGGTAACAAAAATAGTTTTTCTGCATGTGTGTGTGTGCATTTTTTTTTCCTTCTAGGTGGTTAGAACAGTTTTTTTTGGCATATGTTTATATATACATTGTACCTTGGAATTCAAACTTAATTGGGCGTTCGAATTTCAAATTGTTCGAGTTACAATTGTTTTCCATTGAAAATAATAGAAACTAAATTGTTTTCCAAGGTCCAACAAACTCAAATTTTAGAGTGTATTTTTCTAAATACCGAACACTGTAAATATAGAAACACATGCTAATCATATTTAATGCAAAAATACATTAATTAAAAACATTGTATTTAGTGTACCTTGATCAAAATGGTGACATAGAAGTAGGAGGAGGATGGGGAATTTAGGGAGTTTTGTTTTTTTGTGTTTTATTTGGTTTTGTTTAGGTAAGTCAGCATTGCATATGAACATTAGGCATCCTTGCTGGTGTTTCATATCTTAGTCGTTCACATTTTGGTCATCAATTGTTGTTGAAGCCAGCATTTAAAAATACTCTGGTGTTGGGGACCATTTTTAATTTTTCTAAAATGTTCTATAATTTTATCATTGAATGAGTAAACACACCTATTAACTAGAGCTGTATCATGGTGCTACTTCTCAACAACTTCTTGCATTTTTTTTATCACATGGTCAATTGATCTCTGATTTCAGTAGTACTGATCTTTCTAGCTTCCCTCTCTTCCTTCCTGGAAGACATTTTTTCTGTAGTTTCTTCCTTCCAAGCTCTTGCATTGTCAGTTCAGTTGCATGATTGGCATGTGCAAGCATTTGAGTTCTGAGGCAAAATTTACTTTTATACTGATGGATAATGGGTGCCCAGCTTAAAATTTAGAATATGTTTATGCTGCTGTTAACTCTCTTGTAACAGGGGTGCAGTGGGACTGGCTCAAAAAGTTAGAGGAAATTCCTGGTAAAAGTCTTCTCATTTCTGGGATATAATCGAGGTTCGGAATAGAGCATATAGCATTAGTGACTTTTAATTATGGGAGGGCCTGTACCCTTCTTGGACGCCTTTGACAGAAAGTATGCAACAGAACCACCAGAACTACTTCTGTGCAGCCTCAGTGGCAGATCATAGAAGTAAAACAGGCTTCAAAAGTAAAGAAAGCAGCAGTTTAACAATTACAGAAAGTACGAATGGTACCTTACAGTTTACAAAAGGCGGTAGAGAAGGCAAAAAGGGTTCTAAATTAAAGAGTTGATAGGAAACTTATAATTTCATTTAAAGGTAAACTATCAAATAGCATAAATGATACTATCTGGATATCATTTCAAAAAGCAGAACCCTGCAAGGCCGGTCGGAGTCAGTGTTCGAAGGGCATCACTTGAAAACTTGATGTAGATGACTTTCGTATCAACCAAGTCATCAAAACAGCGTTACTACCCCAGGATTGGGTCAGCTATTTAATCTCACTTCCAGAACCAGGCAAAGATCCCTTGAGACTCAGAGGTTTCAGGATTATCACTCTACAAAACACTTTTAGCAAGATGCTGGAGAAAATTAGGGGAGAGTGAACATTGCATAGGCACATTTATAGATCAACACAGTCAGAAGAGATTGGTGCAGCGAGTAATGACTAGAGGATCTGGCTGATGCTCAACACTTGGGAAACGTAAGACAGACATACAATCAGACTGTTGGTGGTACTTTTGGAATTGGAACTCTGTGCTGGCTGCTGAAGATGGAGAGGCAGCGCTAGTGGGAATGAGCTGTGTGCTATGATGTTGGTTCTCAACTCATGGCTACTTTACTATTACTTCATTTACTTTCCATTTCTTTCACAGTACATAAAAGAGAATTGCGTTCCAACAATGGCTAGGAATCTAACTGGAGGATCATGCAGGCAGAATAAATCCAGGGGATTATGCAGGTAGGTTTTATTTATAAAACATTTGTTTAACAGTCTTTGTTAAAAGTAAGACAGCATATTTTTTTTTTTTCGTAAACAATGTGTTTTATTTTAGTTAAACTAACGACTGTACAGTTCCCACAGTGTGCATGTCAGATGGGACCACAAATACCTGAGCACAGTCTGCAAGCCTGGATACTTGCAGCTATAAAGAAAAACTTTCCCTCAAAAGCAAAGTGTGCAGAGCAAGTGATGAGGAACCCACAAGGGAGCCACAACTGACATGTGAATTCACAGAGGCAGCATATCTGACAATTTTATTTAAGCATGCAAAACCAAACGCAAAGAAGAAAAGATTTTAGCCAGATTAATTTCTTGACAAGAATAACACCTTGATCTATGTGATTACATTTAGAAAACTTTCTTAAAAAGCAGTCTACAGTTCCAATAAATTTAAATGTTATGTACAGACAATGGTAGCCTCATAGCATATTCAGCTATTGGGGTGGAAGTGTTAGACCATCACACATTTAAAGCCTTAACATATGAGTTTGGGTGGTCAGTTTCTTTTCTTATCACCTTTCCATCCCGGACACTTCTTAGAACATTTTTGAAATGATCTAGTACACATTTGTATAAGGTAGATAGAGCTCAGTGCCATCCAGGCTAGGATAAATCTGGCCATTTCTGTGGATTTAACCTGGACCTCTGTCTTACTAGGCATGTGCACAAACTGCTATCCTACTGTGGCATATATACATAATATTTTTTCAGCATTGTGCAATATACAGCTCTTTTTTCAGCATTACGCTGTATTTATTTCAGCATTATGCTATTTACAGCTCTTATTTCAGCATTGTGCTGTATACAGAATTTATTTCAGCATTATGCTGTATACAGCCCTTATTTCAGCATGGTGTTACATACATCACTGATTTCAGCATTGTGCTATACACATCACTGATTTCAGCATTATGCTACAGATGAAATTGATTAAAGCATTGTGCTATATACAGCACTGATTTAAGCATTTTGTTATACACTGCACTGATTTCAATCAGTGTCAATCCGACTGGAGTGAGATCATGCCATTCCACAGTCTGCTATCTTCAGCAGCATCTATCAGTCCCTGTGCTGACACTTCTCCGTGCAATGACAAAAGGCTGTCAAGAACCTCATCACATTGTCTTCCTCTGCCTCTACAGATCTTTCCAATGGTCATAACATGTTCAGTTTCCATTGTCTCATAACAACACATGTCACTGGCTGCAGTATAATATACTGAATTGTTACAACAGTCTTAACATGATTTAATAAGTGTTGCAATAAAAAAAAAAAACAGGTCAAACTCCATGTAATTTCAGAAGTAATATTCTTTTTGTTTTGGCCAGTCAGGATTCAATGCTGCTGTATTTCTTACTTTCCATCTACTTTTTTTAAAACCTGAAATTATGAAACTTGTGATAAGAGGTCCCTGCATCACTTTCCCCAGGTTTTAGTATTAGGACCACAAATTCCACTCTCCAAAACTTCAGCATTGTATCATTGTTCCAGCTCATATTTCAAATTATTTATTTTAATACTTGTGTTCCTAGAATTTCTAGCATCTCATTAGATGTTTATCATCTGGAGATTTCCTCGATTACAACGCTTCTTTTTTCATAGGCTGGCCGCATGGATAGAATGCTGGACTCTCATACCGGAGACCCGGGTTTGAATCCTCAGAAAGGCTGGGGATTTTTTTTTCTGTTGGGGGCAAAATAAAATCCTTACCTGCGCAGTTGTGGCGACAGCACTAGCCATGTGGCCGTAAATCATCAGGCTCACAGACCGCCTGCCTACACAGCATAAGTGGTATATAAAGGCAGTCAGTGGCATTGTTTTTTTTTTACAACGATTTTTTTTGCTTTTCCAGTTGCTTGTAAATTAGGTATTCCTATTGTCTTTTATTCCATGTCTGTGCAGCTACTCTTTCTTGAGATCTGTGTAATTTATTTTTTCCCCCTCAGTTGTCTTAATGTGTCATTATCCTAGAATGGTATATTGTTTCTGCATGCTTTTCTCGTTAAAACTTTTGGGACCTTTTGAAGTAGGCATTTATTGAGCTCCTCATCTCCTTTTTTTGCCTTTTATTCCTCAAAGAAGTACTCAACCAGCTCACATCAAGCTCCCAACCTGTCTTTTGCCATCTCTTGCAGTTTCTGTCATAAAATAATGTTCGTTAATTTGTTCATTCATTCAGGCATTTCACACCCTTACCGTATTTTAAACCTCTGTGTCTCTGATTAGTTCACGCCATAAGCACTCCATTAGTGTTTCTGTCCTGCGTTTGAGACCTTCTGTTCTGAGCGGGTAGCAGTTACCTATTTATTGATCATTTATAGAACTGTTTTCTTTATATTGACTGTTTTCCTTAATGTGAACATGTATTTACTACTCTGTTTCTTTTTAATGGTGCCTTATGAATGTGCATCTTTATTTACTTTAGGGGAAAGTTGATAGACACTATATTGGACTGGGAGGATTCACTGCCGGAGCAAGATCTAAGTACGGCAATTGAAGAGTGCAAGTAAGTTTACATTTGTGACACTATTTGCAAACACTGATTTTGAATCTGTCTGTTTAAAATACCAACAGTACAGTGCTTTAATGAGTGGTACATTGTGTTGTACCATAACAAACATTAATAACAAATGAACGGGCAGATAGACTGGCTGGTTCTGCACATCTTGGTGTGAATTGATACATCACAAGCTAACGAATGAATGAACAAACTTTATTTTCGAAGGGTTACAAATTGGGCACCCAGTCCCGTCTTACAGTCAACCCTTTCAGACCACAACTGCATATTATCTATCATCATCATCATCAGGTGCCTTGCCGACTGGCGTAGGCGATCATGCCTCTCCATAATCTGCGATCTCCTGCAGCATGTATCAGTTCGTGTGCCGACACACCTCCATGCCATGCAACAAGACTGTCAAGCATCTTCTCTCGTTGTCTTCCTCTATCTCTCCTTCCACAGATCTTTCCAGTGGTCACAACATGTTCTATTTTCCCTCTTCTCATAACATGGCTGAAAAATGATGACTGTCTCCTTCTGATGTCTGTGATTATCTAAAATGCATGTTATATATATTAAAATAATGCATACATCATCATCAGGTGCCTTGCCGACTGGCGTGGGCGATCATGCCTCTCCTCTTATGCAATCTCCTGCAGCATGTATCAGTTCGTGTGCCGACACACCTCCATGCCATGCAACAAGACTGTCAAGAATCTTCTGTCTTTGTCTTCCCCTATCCCTCCTTCCACAGATCTTTCCAGTGGTCACAAAATGTTCTATTTTCCCTCTTCTCATAACATGGCCGAAAAATGATGACATCTTATATACACTCTGAATATACGCGTACACATACACTCTTATATGCCCATACATACACAGACATTGGCACACCTGTGCATACACAAAAACACTCTCATACAAATACATACATGCACTCATGCTCATACAGACTTGTACTCAAACTCATAGACAATCAACTTTTTACAGACTCTCATGCATGCATTTACAGATAAACAGTCTCACACTCATTAATCCACATACATACACTCATGCATGCATACACATTCATGCATACATACTCACATCTGAATACATATACATACTTACACTGGCATACACACAAATACAAATACATACACTCACTCATACAAACCCAAACACTATATACATAAGCACCTTATCGTACACAAACACCTATATATTGCAATACAGTCTCATTCATACACAAGAACCTAATCATACACAATCACCTATACATACAAACACCCATACATACACCCAGATAGCCACAGAAATCCTCACATCCTCATACAACCCCTTACGTACATAGCTGCAACATTCGCGTTTTGTTTGTATTTGTTATATTGTGAAGCTTGCTAATATACTTTTCGTTCTATTTTATATCTTTTCTTCATACGTAAATAAACACACAACATACACAAGAAATTATTCATACACAGTCCCACATAAAAAACACACACATACAATAACACCCAAACATACAGCTAGATGTTGTAATGGCATTTCGGGGGGCGAGTGAACAGTGCAGAGGCATAGATGGATCATCCCGGTCTGGAGAGAAGGGTGCTGCGAGGAGTGACCAGGAAATCTGACCGATGATCAACTCAGGATAAAGGTGAGGTTGGTATATACTCATACTGTTACTAGTACCATCGGAATCGGAACTCTGCGCTTGCTGTTGAAGATGGGGATGGAGCGCATATGTGAATATTCCGAAGGCTGTGATGTCAGTTCTTATTTAAACATTAAACAAATGGTACATTTGGTCATGTTAATAAACAGCTATGAAGATGGTTAAGCAAAACAGCACACTTAGATAATTGCATTCATACATGCATACATATATCCATTCATCCATGCATGCATCTGTAGCATGCATGAATCCATCCATGCATGCACATTCACATGCAGACAGGTTAAAAGTGTGTGTGTGCGCGCGCATGTCCACGCACACATACACATGTGTATATATATATATATATTATATATATATATATATATATATATATATATATATATATATATATATATATATATATATATATATATATATATATAATAATAATCAATAATATTAATCATAGAACATTACAGTATAGACTTACTGAATAAAATATTTCTATATTTTAACTGTTTATTCCCGTTCCAGAAAATCTGACCTCAGCATATGTTTGGGAACATCTCTGCAAATACTGCCAAGTGGGAACATTCCCCTGCAAACCAAGAAAAATGGCGGGAAACTCATCATTGTGAACTTGCAGCCTACAAAACATGACAAGAAATGTGACATGAAAATCTCTGCCTATGTGGATGATGTCATGAAACAACTCTGTGAGGCTCTGGAGGTTAAAATTCCACAGTATAATGGTCCTTCTTTCTGTCTTACTTCAGTTCATACATTAAAGTCTGAAAAGAGTTGGCAAGTAGTAGCCGATGAAGGACTCTTGGGGAAATTACAAGGAGATTGGAAACTTAAGACCATCAAAAAATCTGCAAGACCTAAAGATGAGTCAAATGAAGATGGTGATGTCAAAGCAAAGAAAATTAAAATGGAAGATAGTTTCACACCAGCTGGCACAGTTAAATGTGAAACGGTGAAAGAAGAGGATGTTTCACAGGTAAAATGTGGCAGCATTGAAGAAAGTGGACATGCTAGCAGTAAGGAAGTTACTAGCAGTATAACAGTGCTGGAATGTCCCTTAGTAGCTCGAAATTGTCTTGATGAGGCTTGTAGCTCAGTTGCTTTAAATCCTTGCACAATACACTGTCAGTCATAATACATTTATTTAAAAAATTAAAATGTGAAGAAATTACTTATGTCTTTGTAAGTAATATAAACATGATCTGTAGGTGGTAGTTCACTTTTTTAAACTTCTGAACTATATCTCTGTTAATTCTGTTCACTAGTTTTTCTTTTCTAAATTAACTCATGTAACCGTTTTAGTTCTTTTCACTAGTTTTTTTTCCTAATTAACTCTTGTAGCTATATTAGTTATGTTCATTAGTTTTCTCTTCTAAATGAACTGTTGTAGCTATATTAGTTATGTTCACTAGTTTTATAATTAACTTCTGTAGCTATATCATTTTTTTCCAACCAGTGCAATCAGTCAGCATTGCAAAGCTGAGTACTAAGCACATAGATCCAGTAAGTGTTAGCTGTGATGTTTATGATTTCAGACATCTAGTCTTATATTTTTTGTACTGAATGGTATACATTTGAAGAATTAGAAATAGATGCAAATGTCTGATTGTGAAATTTTTGATGAGGACTGTAATGTAAATGTTTTGAAAAAAGCTGCAGAGTAAAAATAACTTATCCTAAATATCAGAAAGAGGCAGTCGTCATTTATTTGGTCACATTGGGAAAAGAGAAAAGACTGCATGTTGCATCAACTGGAAAGAAAGACAGGGAAAGACTAAAGAAGATTCAGCCGTTTGTTATGGCATGGAAATCTGGCAGCACATTAGTTGATACATTTCATCTTTGTCTTAGCGTTCGCTGGCTGCAAACTCCGGCAGAAGGTTCTGGGTGCGGACTGTTGGTTTCTTGCCTTTCAGCAGATGCCTTCCCTACTTAGAAAGAAACTTCCGCAGTTAGTTGCCTTGTACGACATACTTGTTAGGTAGGCAGTGAGTTGATTTATCCCCCCCCCCCCCCTCCAAATATATGGGGGCTTCAGAACCCGCAGAGAGAAATGTATACGCTATACAAATATGGTCTTATGCAGCTATTTGCTACTTTTAAGGTGGTGTAAAAAAGGATGGTCCTGAGCTGTTGGATTTAAGGCCATATTGCTGATGCAGTAACCATGGACTGTGGAGGTTAGGGTTTTTATTTTTGCTTCAGACAGAAAAAATCTCCATCCTTTACTGAGGATGGAACTCAAGTCTCCTGCATGAGAGCCTGGTACTCTAACCTGCTAAGGGCCTCACAATCTGCAGGGGCATCAAAAATTCAGTTACAGCCTCAAATGAATGAAGAAGAATACTATAGAATATCTGAGTTCAAAATCCAACTAATCATTAGCCGGTCTTCAATGGACCATGTGGGCCTTATATATATGTTCCATTGGGAGATAAATGGCAGTAGAAAAATGTTTGCATTTCTTTGTAGCTCTGATGATTTAAAAAAAAAAGTGTTTAAACAGGTGTGTCGTATGAGCTAATTTAGACTATTAGCCTGAATAATGGAGCAGAATATAACATGGATAACATCGGATGAATGAGGTATAACAGAGGCAAAGAGCAGATTAGGAAATGCAAAAACTGCATTTTATAAAATAAAGATAATTTTATGCAGTAAATCCATGTCTTGGGAAGTTAGAAAAAAAAAAGAATTCTGCATGCTATATACCAGTTTGAACTTATGGTTGCTAATCCAGGACAATAAGTAAACTAACCAGACAGGTTTTTTTTAGCCTTTAGAGATGTGGTTTTACATGAGAATGCTAAAAATGTCTTGGACAGCCAAAATGAATCACAACTTATCACAAACACCAGCCAAACAGCCACATTTGTGGGGGCCATGTTTTGAGAAGAAAGAAACTGGAACATGTTGTGTAGACTGGAAAGAGAGCCAAAGAAAGACAGAATGTGAAGAATCTTAACAGCCTTTTGTTATGGCACAGAAGAGTGTGGTCATACAAACTGCTGTGTGCTGTTCATGATTGCAGGTTGTGGAGCGCCATGATCACCCATGTCAGTCTGCAAAGCATTAGGTGATATAAGATAGTAACAGTTACACTAATAATTGGACAGAGTGGGCTGTTACAACAATTTATTGGGGTAAAGTAAATTAACAGTGTAAGTTGTTTGGTACAGATAGGATTAAGCTATGTCAAAGATGCCTTTTTTTGCTATGTTGAATTGTCTTTGAAAAACACCTATTTTTATTATTGTTTTCCAGTAGCATTAATGTGTTTTACCTAGTTAATATTTGCCATTGTTGATGATACCTTACCTTTTCAGTTGCTTCCATTGTAAATAGTTTTGACTGGAATTATTTGCTTATCCTGAATTATGTCTGTGTTCCTCTGTTAAATGTTAAAGTTTATACTTTCTATGCTGAGTTGATCAGTTATATAATGTTATTGAACATTATATTTTTAGCAGGTTTGAAAGCAAACAATTAAAAACATAGTGAAACCATTTATGTAGTCTTCCTATTTTTCTTGTGCAATTAGATAGCTGTAGTGTCAGTTTTCTGTGATTCGCATTATATTAACGGATAAATTTTCATTTAATCTGTTCTGTTATTAACGTCATTAATCTAGTGTACATCCTGAAATAAGGTATACTAGGCTATAAAACATGCCTAAGCTAATATGAAATGCTCTGTCTCATTAATACCAAGATCAGAATGTCTAGAGGACTGATAAGATAAGACCAGTTATGGTTCTGAAACCTTGAGTACAACAAAAAGAGAGAAAGCTTATTACAAATCTGTGGGTCCATCAGTAACGACAGAGCTTCTTTTTAAGTGACCACTATTTACAGGCATCAGGAAGGCTAGTAGACTGCAGTGGTTTGGAAATGTGGAGAGAATGTCAGGAGAGCTGGGAAGGCTAACCCGGTTCACAAATGCCTGCAGAAGTTGGATATGTCGGCCGAAAGGCTATTCTGTAAATGGGCACAATGTAACTACATCTCTGGGTAAACGCAGAAAAAAAAAAGAATAGAGAAACAAAAACTGCAAAGATGACTGTACTCTTATTTGTGCTGTTAATTAATGTTATATTCTCTGTGATTGACCTCATAAGTATGGACAGCTATTCTTATCTGTTCTGTGTGGTTGTTGTTTTGAGAATGAGTGGCTGGTCTTATCTATTTTGTGATTGATGAGAGGTTTCATGAGCATCAATAGTTATCTGTTTTGTGATTAGCTAAACTTTTGGCACATAGTAAAGTAAGTAAGCATGTGAGTGAATCAAGAGGTGAGGAAAAGACGCTGGGATATATATTCAAAATAGGACATGCGTTGAGTAAACCTGAGAATATAAATATAATGTTTTATTCTGGAACCCACAGGGTCATAGCAAAATAGGTACACCCAGAATTGTGGAGAAAGGAACTAGAGAGGTACTCGTAAACTTGCTGGACTAACAGGCATGCATTACCATACTGGATCTTAATTCCCTGATGAATTTCTATCTGTTTTACACTTTTACTAATAAAAAAAATTGATAACGCCACTCCTCTCTGTGCATGTCAAAAGTTTGTGTGTGGAGTGGGGGCAAAAGGAAACTCATTATGACATCCCCGTGTTTGTCTGCTTAATACTCTTGACATTCTTAAAAACAAAACTGACAGGTTACATTGCTCCCAGAAAAGTCCACGCACTTTGAAATAACCAGAAGTAGTGGACATTTATAAATATCAAATATTGGAATATGAACCAAAAAAATTATACATTCCAATTATTAGCCAGGTGGGATGAACAGGATGTTGTTTAAATAACAACTATCACCACTAAGATAAAATCAGCAATTCTAGATTACAACAAATGACAGACATAGAAGATGCAAATTTAGAAATTAAAAACGAAGATGGAGGTTGACTGGACACGTCCTCAGAATGAAGAGAGAAATCCGAGACAGTGAATGAAGTCGGAGTGCATCTGCCGGAGAGGCAAGGAACCAACAGTCTGTATTCAAGAGAATGAGATCTGTAAAACTGATGCATACGCAACACTCAGGCTATGGAGCAGGACTGCAGTTCAGTAGTGGATGAGCAACCAGAACCTTCCGCCAGAGTTTACAGCTGGTGAACGCGAAGAAGAAGAAGAAGAAGAAGAAATGCAGTCTTTCCGAGAATTCCCAACCAACCAGCCAAATGATATGCGTGCGAAACATTCTCATTTTACGCTGGGTTAAAAAATGTGAGCAATATTGTTGAGATGCTCTGAAATAGCATATAATGAAATGAACACATGTGGGCAAAACAACTTTGGACAAGGGTATGGCCAAACAAAATCTCCCGAAAAGCTGTAAAATGAAGCTTACTTTAATTGTAGCATTAAATGTTACAGTCAACAAGGATGTACGCTGCTTAACTGGAATGGTCTCGGGGAAAGGAGGAGGGGAAGAAGCGAAGGTGTAACATGTTTTAATCAATTAACGGTCAGAAGTGGACAGGAAAGACCACGACAGATTTGGACATGATGAGGTCCTAAATTATACAAAACCTCGAGACCCCTAACGTTTTAAATTACACCAGCTAATTGCAGAAAACTGTAAAATATATAGGTCTACGCTTTTAAATATGTGGACAATAGAAATATATAGTTTAACTGTTAATATAAAAAAAAAATAAAGAACACATAAATTATAAAAATCCTCTAAAATGCTCTTCCTCTTCTTCTTCGTGTTCACAGGCTGTAAACTCCAGCGGAAAGTTCTGGTTGTTCGCCCACTATTGGACTTTGGTCTTGTTCCTAAACTTGAGATATGCGTGCAGATCTGTTTTACAGATCTAGTTTATTTGTACATTATCTGATTGTTCCTTAGCTTTCAGAAATGTGCACGTCGCTTTTGAAGGAAATAGGCATAATTAGTCGACTTTTGCGACATGCATGTTGAGCACAGTATTCTGTCGACCCCCCTCCCCCCACCTTTCCCCTTTTCTCCCACTCCTCCTGCCCCTTTCAAGCCTAGGAAATAAACAGAGCAAGAACCGAGAAACGTTAACAGTATAAATACCATTATCGGTAAGTTATTGAATTAAACGATAGCTGTTTCCAGAAGTAGCGTTAGTATTTTCCTACACAGAGGTGAACCCCAAGTGTCTCTTGCATAGTTAACGAATGATCATCATCATCAGGTGCCTTACCGACTGGCGTGGGCGATGATGCCTCTCCATAATCTGCGATCTCCTGCAGCATGTATCAGTTCGTGTGCCGACACACCTCCATGCCATGCAACAAGACTGTCAAGCATCTTCTCTCGCTGTCTTCCTCTATCCCTCCTTCCACAGATCTTTCCAGTGGTCATAACATGTTATATTTTCCCTCTTCTCATAACATGGCAGAAAAATGATGATTGTCTCCTTTTGATGTCTGTGATAAGTTGTCTTCGGGCTCCCGCCTCTTTCAAAACCTCTTGGTTGCTCTTTTTGGCTGCCCAAGGTATTCTAAGCATTCTTCTGTAAAACCACATCTCTGAGGCCTCAAGAAATTGTGTGGCCTGTCTACCAATTGTCCAGGATTCACAGCCATATGATAAAACTGGATGTATATAGCAAGCAACTATTCTTTTTCTAACTCTTAATGACAAGGATATATTGCTCAAGATGTTTTTCATTTTATAAAATGCAGTTTTTGTCTGTCCTATTCTGTTTCTTAACTCAGTTATGCATCTTTCATCTGATGTTATCCATGTGCCCAGATACTTAAATTTCTGTACTTGTCCTAAAATAACACCGTCGACTTTTATTATACATTTAGGAATAATTTGTTTCTTTGATACCACCATTACTTTTGTCTTTCCATTATTCAAACTGAGGCCCATTCTTCCACTTTCTAACACCACAATGTCTATCATTTCCTGTAGTTCTGTCTGACTTGTTGCTATCAAGACTGTGTCATCAGCATAACGTAAATTGTTTATATTGTGCTCACCAACCACAATTGCGGACATTATCACCAGGACTTTTCGAAGTCCACAATCTTCGAGGATGGTGTTTAAACCAGGTGTTACCTATTATCATGCTGCGCGACTCAGCCCATGCTATTAATCTGTCACCTCTCAAATTTTCTCCTAGGCCATAGCCACCCGTTTTCCGTACATTTTTTCACTTCCTATTTTCGCGTTGAAAGTACCATTGTTACTTCACAATTTTTTTGCATTGATCAACAGCCATGTCTAACTCGTCATAAAATGCGTAAATATCTTCATCTGAACTATCTGCCTTTGTGGCATAAATCTGTACTAAGTTGATGTCAAACGGTCTGCCGCGAAGTTTTACTAATAGTACTCTATCTGATATTGTCCAAAATCCTTTAACAGTTTTTGAGTTCTTCGGATCCAAAATAATACCAACTCTCTTACTATATTCTTTCCCACCCGAGTAAATAATTCTGTGCTGATCTGAATACTGTTCCTCTGCTCCTGGCCATCGCATTTCACTAATTCCTAATATGTTGATGTTCATTCTCTTCCTTTCCATCTTGATGTTATCCAGCTTTACGTTGTGTACGAGTGTTCTGACATTCCATGTACCAATGTTCAGGATATTTCTACCATTTACCTTTTCTAGCAGTAGCTGGATGACGGTCGGGTATCACCGCAGAACATGATGCTCCCTACCGGACGAGGTGATTCCACTGGAATCCCCATTCACGTCGTTATCTGAATTCATATTATTTTGAGGCATGATTTACTGGGGATAATACAGCGGTGGTTTCCCCTTGTCTTCCGCCGGTTTGTATATGGTTTGACTCCAATAGCCTTTGTCTAAAGAGACTTACCCTGCAAGGCAGCAGGAGGGAGAGGTTATGGCTCCTCTTACCCGCCGATGGCAATATCGTATAGTTTTGAGGTATTTTATAGAGTTAGCTGTCCCATCAACTAACTCGCCTCCTCTCAACGACCATCGCCTGTTTTGGTCCACGGCCACTTATTCAATATATTCGTGGCTAACCTCTTAACAAATTATAAATACAATCTTTATACCGACATTAGGTTATCAATGTCAGACTTGGACATTAACAAAAGAACACGAGAGAAGACTAACCACCTGTGAAATGAGATGTTTGAGAATGGCTGCGAATAAAACCAAAAGAGATCGAGTGAGAAACGATGTGATTACAAGAACTATTGGAACCATACCCATCGTTAAATTTATTGAGAAGCAAAGAATGAAATGGTTTGGTCACCTAATGAGAATGGAACCAACGATGCCAGCATCAAGAGCATACAACATGAAAATCGAAACACCAAGAGGCAGGGGAAGACCAAGAAGATGATGGATTGAAGGAGTCACGGACAACTTGAGACTTCCTAACATCAGGGCATATGAAGCGACTGAGCGCGCCCTGGCTCGGTTGCCGATCATCTGATAGACTGCGACGCCTAGCGGCACAAGCAGATTTTGACAAAAGAAGAAGAAGAAGAAAGAACCTCTTAACGAATGATAAAAGACTAATTCACGGCTTTCCGAGCCCACAGGAAATGACTTGGACATGATTTATAGCGGATTTGTTTACTATAGCAACCCATACTTCTGCTGAGAGCATTTCAAGAGAGCAATATAATTTAAATATAATAATATTTATAACGTTAGGTGGTATAGACGAAGTTAACTTATTATGGCTACTGCAAATGTAAGAGTCGGTGCCAATCCTCCAGTTTATGATCGTAACGAAATTAGACCGGGTAATTCAGCAGGAAGATGTCTGATTGAAAATTGGGTGGAAGAAGTAAGTCGTCGATGGAGAATGTTTGTGGTACATCATAGAATTTCTATTTTGACTGTTCTTAAAATCTGATTGTAAAATATTAATATTTTTTTTCAATCATTATCACACTAAATATATATTAACATTTTACGATTATTTAATGCTGTATTGTTTTAATTTTTTTTGAAAAAGTCACTATGCATCTTGACCAAAATAAATCCGTTTTAATAGTTTGTGTACTTACATTTGGTGATTGTTCCCTGCACTCCGAATTCGAACGAAGCTCCCAGATAGTCGACTTCTACGACCTGCTTGTTTGGGGAGGCTGTGGATCTATTCTTGTTTTCCCCACAATAGGGCCCCGAAACCCACACAGGAATTCAGACTCTGAGTCAGTTATGTTAAGTTTTCACAATCGACGTCACTGCACAGTGGGCATTCCCATGCATGGCCAGTCCTCCGATGCAGCAGCCACTCAAAAGTACTTCTACTAATTGTTCCCATGAGAAGCTGGTTAAATTGTCTCCTATCTTGGCCTCAAAGACAGCATTGACGAGCTTTACCATGCTTTACTCCCATGTCAAGCAATCGTGTTAGTGTCTGGGATTCCTCATTATTCAATAGCCTAGTCTGTACAGCATTGACGTTATTTGCTCTCTCTATGCTTCTTCCCAAATGCCTTAGTGCAGTGCTTGCCAGTTGGTCCGTTCGCTCTTTTCACTTTATGCCCGCTAAAAACGAGGGGAGCTCCCCACTATTCATATTTTTCTAGGCAAAAGACTGGGGATGGGGCCGAGCCTTCAAATTATTAAAAAAAAAAAACATTGTGCCCCCTGTACTACACCCTCATACCACCCAGGTAGAAATTGAATAGGTAACAGTAAGATGCATTCTGCTACCCCTCCCCCAACCAATAAATTAAGAAAACATTGAGTGGAGGGTCCTTTGTGCCCCCCATGACTATGGCCTCCTCACCACCATACACATTTACTAGGTACATTTGATGATGGCTGAAGCCCTTGTGTCTCCTCCCCCTACTTAATAATTTTTAAAAGGGGCTGAGATACTATCTGTAGCCATGTATAGAAATTATTTTTGAAAGTATTTGTTTATATATTTTATTTTATTTCAAGTATATTGTATTTATTTGCTGTTCACCACATTATTATTATGGTTAATGTGCTGAATGGTAAATAAATATATAGTATACGTGAAATAATATGAAATATATAAACAAAGACTGTTAAAGAAACAGAATGTGCAGAGTTAAAATGGGATGCTCTTAGTCCTCTTACAGAATTATGGGAACGGAGGGAAGAGGGGGGGGGGGGGGGGGGTGGTGGTTAAGAAACAAGCCCCTAGGATCTGACACCTATGACAGTCATGTCTCCCTCCTCACTTTGATGTTTGTTTCACATTTTGTTTGATTATTTCATTGTCTGTTTTTCATGTAGAGGAGCTTTCTCTGTATTTTTTTAAACCCATGAACTAATTTTCTTTAAATTATATTTGTATGTCCTTTGAACTACTTTTGATGATTTAATTTAATTTGATAAGAAATGCTAGAAGCTGCTTCTTTAAATAATTGCTACCTGCTGTGGTTGAATTGTAATATCATTTCTGATTCCCAGGTTTTTTCACTCAAGTTCACTGTCTGGGATACAACTGTGTACTGTTTCCCTTAATGACATATTTAACATATGTGTAATGCAATACACACTTTAAGAGGCTAGTTCAATTTTACCTGTCAGAGACCGAATGTCTGCCGTACCGGCACGTGGCTCGGGGTGTAGGCCTGTGACAGATAAACTTATCCTAAACACACTTAATCCAAACACCTACAGAGCACATAACAATCTTTAATGTACAGAACAATATGACAAATGGCAGTTCGCTTCAGGAGTCTTGGGTACCCCTATCCTAAACAAAGGCTGTGAGGGCTTTATAAATCACCTCTCACTCCTACCATAGATAGTAACTGGGTCTGAACCCACACCGCTCCTGTACAGGTCTTTCCTCTGTAATTAAACTCCACACCAAGATCGTGTTGCATCTACTGAAAGTGGGCAAAGTGAATGAAGACCGATCAAATCACAACAACCACTACAAACCAGACTTACCTATCAGACTGACGATATTGTTTATTCAATGGATCAACATCATGGCACACAGGTGTAACCCATAAGTGCTCCGTTCTTCTTCTAAATCAAGCCTGAGTCCAAAGAATCTCAGCGCAGTGCATGAACTCTGTTGCACCGGCGAGGATCCTGAAAAACTTTGGTTAGATTTGTAACTCCAAATTTTGCCCGGGCAACCCCGTTGGTCAACACTTTTCAATTTCTAATTGCCAAGACTGATAATAATACCTAACCAGCTACCCACATAACAAGCTACACATAAAACCTATCTCTGTCAGACGGGACATAACACAAGAGTACTGCTGCTGTCTAACAACACATCATAACACAGACTATTGGTCACTGTTGTCTAAACATAGCACATTGCAACTATAACGTCTCTAGGGATGCATGTCCTGGGAACAACTGTCCTCTATCTTGAGCTGTCCCACTGGTTTTTTGCAGTCACCAGTCAGTTGAGCATTCTTGCTGTACTCGTGACTTGGCAGCGAGACACTCAGTCAGGCATGAGTTCCCACAGTCATCTATCCGTCACAGTGAACTCCGGTTCATGCCTAGGTCAACTAGGTGCAGACATGGAACATTCACTACTATCATACTAGCTGTCCATACCTGCACCAGAGTAGCCTCCGACAACTTTCATAAGGAAGAATTATTTAAAAGACATGCAGTGTTAAAAATATGTTGCAAGTAGGGTGTGACTGCCATCAAGAAGCTATCAAGATATAAATTAACACAAACTTTGATAGAAAAGCGCAACTGCCATGGTGTAGTTGCTAGGCACTTATCTGCAGATCAGAAGGTCATATGTTCAGGTCCTTACGGAGCAAGACTTTTTTTTTTCAAAAATGACCTTGGCTGTCAGGTTGACCCAGACCTAAATGGGTACCAGGCACAGTCCAGGGAAATAAAGGCAGCCAGCATTATGTTGACTCAACACCCACCAAGTGCCGATTTGTCTATAAAATATAGCTCTAGCCCTATATGCCCAATACACCTGCAGGCGTGGAAAAGGGTCATTTACTTTTATGATAGCAAACCCTTCGTTGAGCATCCAAATCATAGTTTGTGTTAATTCAATGAAATTCTATAGCTTTTTGTGTCATATAAATATCATTGACACATAATCAGCTGGGAGACAGCAGGATTGTCATAAGCATAGTTTTTTTCTTTTTTAAAGAAATAACATAACAGTACATGTCTCACAGTGAGTAGATAGTTTGCTTTGTTAATATCTCATACATAGCATTTTAGGAACTAGGGATTTGTGGGAGAATATGTACAACTAGCTGTACTCAGCCACATGTTGCTGTTGCCCAGAATGGTAAAATGGAGAGGAATGAAAATAGCTCTCAGCTAACAGGGTCTGTCATATCCCTCCCCCCTCGACACAGTCATATCTCCCTCTTCGAAGGATTGAAAAATCATCCATGGGGAAATTATAAAAATAGAAATAGTTAAGAAATGAGAACAATAAAATAATATTTTAAGCTCTCTCAGCTAACTGTGTCTGGCATAACCCCCCCCCCCCCCCTCCCCCCAATCATATCATCTTCTCTGAAGGATGGGAAAGTCACTGTATAACGAAATATTGTAACTAAATTGAGCTTTGCATCCGTGTCCACCCAGACTTAAATAGGTAGCACTAACTTGTACAGAGAAATAAATGTAGCCAGTGTAACAGCTATCACATCACCCATCCAGTACCAGTACTACTGCAACCACAACCACCACCACCATTACAACAACAACAACAACAACAAAAACTGTCACTACAGGCTGTGTAGGTCGGTGTAGAAAAGAGGAGTTAGCGTCGCATGCTGTCGCCACTGACTATTTAGTTTGGTTTTGCCCCGAACATAGGAAGAAAAAACTTCATCACGTAACCAGTGATGGAACCTACAGTGAAAAGTACACTATACTCACGAATAGCGGAGAAAAAAATACCCCGCACCCGTCATCTCTCCCTCGGCGAGGAAACGATTTTTAACTGACCTTGGCATCCGTGTCCACCCAAACTAAATTGGACTGTAAACCATCTTAGTTAGCAGTTTCTGTCATCGCCGAATTGTTTTTGATCGAGAAGCGTCGCGGGGAGACTAATTAGGACTTAAATTAAATCGGATGTCTTTGGGCGAAAGGCGCAGATATCGCAGCCTAGCTGTTAACCACAACACAACGTGGCAACCACCCTTTTAAGGGAAAAAGAACAATTATCACCCAGCGGGGAATCGAACACCCGTCACCTGCGTGAAGGATGACATACTTACAACTATACTACCGACGACTGAAGAGTTTAGGTCAGATATCGCAGCCTAGCTGTAAACCACAACACAACGTGCCAACGGCCCTCTCGAGGGCGAACGAAGATTACTCGTGACATGACCATTGAGCATCACGTGGCCGCTGTTGCAGGCTAGCTGTAAACCCCAAAACCGAAAAAGGCGTAGATATCGCAGCCTAGCCATAAACCACAACACAACGTGCCAGGTGCCCAGTTAGGGGCTAAAAAAAAATTATATCACCTAGCGGGGAATCGAACGCGGGTCATCTGCATGATAGGCAGAATAGCTACCAACTACGCTACCAAACACTCAAGCAAATAGTGGAAATGAAATTATATAGTCAAATACGGCCAATAAACTAAAAACAAATCCGGGCCGGCAACAACATGAAAAATGATTTGACCGTTGCTGGAGCGACGTCGTTCGTGGTTTGTGCGATTTTCTGACAAAAAATCACGCTTAGAGTCAAAGGCAATGTTGTGTGCAAATTTGAAAGCAATCAGTTCAGTAGTTTTTTTTAGCTAACAACATGGGAAAATTAACATTTTTATTATTTTATGTACAATTCAGAAGGGCAAATGGATCACCACAGTCTGGTGAGGGTGATGCAGCCCAGAGGAAAGGAGAGATGGATGCATAATCAGAATGCTACTGGCACCATTGTTATTGGAAGATGGGGATGGAGCACTCATGGGAGTGCCACGAGTGCTGTGATATCTGTTCTTGAATCAGCTCAGAAACTAGATGAATAAATTAAATTTGTTTTCCTGTGATTTATTAGGAAAATTTAAATTAATATGATATCCCTTTATTTCACAGCGTGCTAACATCGGCCGTGACCCACCAGTCGATAGAGAGTATAATCTGGCTGAACGGGCTGGGCAGTTACGAAGTGGACACAAAGGCCTTCTCACAATTGATGATGAAGCAAAAGTAGAAAGCATTACAACTGTTCGGGAAACATACACTCCTCCTGACATAGACAAAACAAGGCATATAGGTTAGTAAATGGGTCTGACACCTTCTTCATCATTCAGTGCCTTTGATATTCACTGCAGCAAATATAAATATAATCCGCCTCCATTCATCTCTGTAATTCTTCTTCTGTTTCCAGTTGGTGACTCCAGGATTCTGTTTATGAGCCATTTCTTGTTCATGATTTGAACATAAAGGAGAACTGGCTCATAAACAGCATCCTCACCCCAAAAAATGAGTAATTTGACTGTGTTAATCTTCATAGTGGCCTGGAGAGAACGGTGGTGGAGGATGCAGTTTTTATGTATAGAAAAAAAGGCAGAGGTTGACATCAATGAAGATGTGTACATAACATTGAAAACGCATTGAAAATGAAAGCACATAGGGCTGAAGAATTGGCTAGAGAAAGTGAGACGTTCAGGCATGCCATGAAGAGAGCGACGTCCTGTAAAGGACCTCCTGCTGATTGATGGGTTTGTGTAGGTCTGTCTGTGTGTTACCTCTCCATAGTATTCTTAGTCAGCCTTGTGGTCTACTCCTGTTTAACTATTTTGAAGTCTAACAGAGGAATATCACTATTATGCCTAATAAGAACAGCCTTTTGGCCGACATTGTGCTACCAGTGCCAAACATGGAGCCTTGCTACAACTATCGAGCGGAAGATTGTAACAACAGAGATGAGATGTCTTAAGAGAGCTGCCGTGTGACAGGAAGAGACAAAATCAAGAATAAAGAAATTAGAAGACTAGCACTGAAATCAGTCATACAATTCATTAAAGAACAACAAATGAGGTGGTTTGGCCACCTGACAAGAATGCCCTGATACCAACTGCCACAGAGAGCCATGCTGAAGAAATGTAATGAACACAGAGCAAGGGGAAGACCACACCACACCAGAGATAGAGCGACATCCTCAGGAGCAACCGAACAGAAATGAACGCTAACTTGTGCAATGCACTAGAAAAAGTGCACAAACGATCCTTACATCTCCCCCCAACACCTCGCTGAGGTAAATTTTGGAAGAGAAGAAGAGGTCTGACATATGCAAATACTTTTATAACACAAGGCAGCCCAGAAATTATTTCCCTCACAAACATATATTGTTTGCAATAAAGCACATATAAACAACCAGAACTCACTTTATTAGTGAACATAATAATATGCAGACTTCTGTTTCTTCTTCGTGTTTACCAGCTGTAGACTCAGGTGAAAAATCCTGGATCTTTATCCACTTCTGGACTTTGGTCTTGTTCCAAGACTTGAGTTTGGCATCTAAATCTGCTTATTTCTGTGCAGATTGCCTGTCAGACAGATGCACTCTGACTTCAAAGGAATTGCAGATTCTGTTTACGTTGGCCAGGTCTTTTTAGAGCCTTCTTCTAGGATGACCCTGGAGAGGTGCATATTTCAAACTACATGTTTTAGACTTTTTGAACAAACATTAAGTAAAGCAAGTGAACTGTTTTGCCTTTAAGATTCTCAGTGTTATGAAATGAGCTAACTTGGTAACTATAACTATTTTCAGTGATGTATGCCTTTTAGGCATCTGTGATTCCTGTTTTTTCTTTCTTCAGGAATTCGCAGGGAACTTATGGAACAAGCATTTATAAAAACTGTCAGGTAATTCTTATGTTCCCCCACCAAAATAGCAAGATTTTTTCATTATCAGCAGACTTATGAATCTCATAATCGGTGTTCACTGTTGCTTCATTTTGTGACCACGTTTCGTCCTCTTCTTCTTCCCCTTCACTGGCTGTAAACTCCAGCAGAAAGTTAAAGTTGTTCATGTCCACCTTTGGACTTGTTCCAGAATCTGAGTGTTGTATGCGCATCCATTTTACAGATCTGACTTATTTGTATGCAGACTGTTGGTTCCTTGCCTATCAGGCTAATGCACTCCGACAATGGGGTCCTGTATCACTAGTAAAATAATTATTCTTTACCTGTGGAGACTGCTGATTCTTCACTTGTGGTCCTTTAGGATGCTTCACAAGTGATATAATGATGCTTTACTTGTGGTGATAAATAATGCATCACTAGTAAACTCATTATGTTTCACTTGTTCTGATTAATGATGCAATTCTAAAGAATTATTGACACTTTACTTGCAGTGACTAATGATGCTTTAGTAGAAAACTAAAAATGTTACAGCAGTGACTAATGATGCTTTAGTAGAAAACTAAAAATGTTACAGCAGTGACTAATGATGCTTTAGTAGAAAACTAATAATGCGACAGCAGTGACTAATGATGCTTCAATAGTGAACTAATGATGCTTCAGTAGAAAACTAATAATGTTACAGCAGTGAACTAATGGTGCTTCAGTAAAAGACTAATGATGCTTCAGTAGTGAACTAATGATGCTTTAGTAGAAAACTAATAATGTTACAACAGTGACTAATGATGCTTCAGTAGAAAACTAATAATGCGACAGCAGTGAACTAATGATGCTTCAATAGTGAACTAATGATGCTTCAGTAGAAAATTAATAATGTTACAGCAGTGAACTAATGAACAGTAAAGCCTAATTACACTTCACTAATGATGACTAACATGCTGACCACATCACCCACCAAGTGCTGATTGGTCTATAAAACTAAAGGTCTAGCCGTATATTCCCCAAACCCCTAAAGGCGTGGAAAAGGGACCTAATGATGACTAATGGATCTTCACTAGTGGTGACTGATTATGCTACACGTGTGAACTAATCATTCTTTACAAATGAAATAATCATTGCTTCACTTGTGGTAACTAATAATACAGCTTCACTAGTGAACTAATCATTCTTCACACAAAGTAAAGAAAGCTACATCCTGGGATTGAATCCAATTCCAAGGAAATTGCTTGGTACTAGATTTTATAGTAGTTTTATCTGGAAGCTAAGGTTAATGAAAAATTATTCTCTTTTTTTGAAGAGGATTCTAACATATGACCACTAGGAATATGTTCTAGATACTGCAATAATGTGACTCCCATGTGAACTTTATAGAATTAATAAGATCTCCATTTACTGGGAAGTCCAAGTGTCTTAGATGTACCCACGCAGTAACATTGTGGCTTTGTGGTTAGTAATAATTTGAAAATCAGTCTGTTGGCTTCTACTACATTATTTTGCAGTGATCCTCACAGTTTTTAAAAACCAAGTAAGTTTCCTCCAACTAATCCATTGGAATGTTACCTTGTTCTTATTGATTATATCATTATTGTTTTTATATACTGTTTAAAGCATTTGATAGAAAGTTTATTCTGTACAATTTCTCACATTAATCACCTGCCAATGTTCTGATTTTAGCTAATGTTAAAGTTAGTTAAAACTGCTATATTCATACATAAGATAAAGCAAACATAGAATTTTATACAGGGAAGACACTTTTATCTAGTGGTATCCATTCTAATGGAAATCAAATAAAGTTGAAGAATAAAGGTATCCAGGCAAATCATTGCTAGTGAAATTATACTGTCTTTATGTCTTATATTCATCACTCTTTAGAAAACAGTAAGACAGAAGAAGGTCTTTAGGGCCACATGACTAGTACAGTTACCATGGGCCGTGCAGGCGTGGATCGTATACTTGCCACGGCAGAAAAATGCAGTCACCATAGCAGGATTCGAACCTGGTCTCCTAAATGAGTGCCTGTAACCACTAAACCAGCCAAAATAGCTAAATTATAAATACCAAATTATTTAATTTCTAAGTCTACTTTTATTTGATAATTGGATTTTAGGAGGGAAAAAACACACTTTCTTTGCTATTATTTTGGTAAGTGGCTTATCTTCTGGCTGTGTGCAATGGTTTGTAGTACATGGCATCTTTTATTCAGCACTACTATAATAGACACTGAGTGATGAGTACCAGCACCTTTTTTTTTTTTTTTTGACACTTTGTGGTGAGTACTGGCATTTTTTCCTAGAAAAAAATGCCCAGGTGAATAGTATTTGAAACAGAAAAGCACAGTGAGTGAAGGATTCCTATCTGTGCTCTGAATAGTGTGGCAGATTGTACTAGTCCCATAATTGTTAGGATAATTAGTCCTTGGTGTGTATGATGTAGTTAATATCATGTCTGCCACCTTTACTTTTCAGGAAATTTCCTGGCTGGCCAGGCCAGTAGTACAATAAAACCTTGTTGACACAAAATGGCTTAAGATGAAAACTTGTTTAACATGAACATTTTAGTTTCTGCAGAGATGTATTATTCATAATTATTACATTTATTCTTCCCCAGTTTTTATGCATTTTTAACACAAACACCTCATTTTTCAGTCCCCTGGAATTTGTGTAAATGAGGTTTTACTGTAAGTGCAAATTATATACGACGTATACATATGAGCAAAACTGGTCTTTATACATATACACAAATTATTTTCAGTGAAGAAATGCTGGAGGAGAAGAGAAAGAAAGAAGCAGAAGAGAGAGCACGTCCAATATTGTCAACATATATTGAGGACTACACAAGAGATTTCCCGAAGAGAGAGCTTGTAATTACAAAGGTCATTATATTAATAAAAATTACTGTTGTATGTGATGTAGTTAATATCATGTCTGCCACCGTTACTTTCCAGAAAATAAAAATTAGAATCTGCAGTTTATAGGGACTGTACTAGCCATGAGGCCCTAAATCCCCAAGTCCTACACTGCCCAAAAAGTGGTAAATATAACCAGCAAAGATTTACACATTATAGTTCATTATTGACAATAATGTTTCCCCATAGTGAATTTAAATAATGCAGACGCAAACAATACATGGCACAATTTATTGCCAGGCATATTTCATTTAACTCATCAGGTGCGTTACTACTGAAGCATAATTATTTTGGTAATAATTGAAAATAACCAGCAAGCTGCTGTGTTCCACACCACTATCGACCAGACAAAAAAAAAAACATCACATTGTAGATACCACACGAACATGAAAATACTTTACCATTCCTTGATGTACTCAATGGATGTAGAGAGGATGGCAGTATCCAAAGATGAATGTGCCGAAAAGAAACATGGACCAGCTATGCCTAAACCTTCACAGTTGTGTACCCATTCATAACAGACATGACCTAGTAAGAAGCTTGTTTACTGATGCCAGAAATATTTGCACCAAAGATACTATGGAAGCAAATATTGAAACCCTCAAGACAACTCCACTTCCAAATGAGCACCCCACAGGGTTCATTAAATGTCACTGCACCCCACTAAACCCAACCGGAAGAAATTACAGTGTCCCAACTTCAGATGTTTATCTAACTTATCGAGGGGTTGATGTCATGTAGCTTCTGCACGACCGACTAAAAACAGCTGTTGTCCAAACATTGTTTCCTGCTGTTCCAGGAGTAAGCTGCAAGATTACTCCCATCCCAAGCCCGTTTATTATGGAGCTACTGTTCCGTACACTAAATCCAAAGGTATATATCCATTTACACGTAAGCGCTAGTTGACTTACTTTGGACGAACAGAGAGATAACTTGAAATATAGAGTGGCAGAGCATATACACTTGTGCTTACACAAGGGTGTTAAATTAGTCAAGGGGAAAGAACCCACTTGTTCTATAGGATGTTATGTACTTGATTCCAGACATGTAAGTGACAAAGACAGTGTTTTCATTTGATTTACCACACAAACAAGTGAATGCTGAGGCTGACCAAAGCTTTAACAATAAAAATTCACCCACCCTCTCCCATGTATGCAGAAGGAATTTATTATAAATTTGAAGTTAACATCAAAAGAGAAATTGGCAAGAGGACGAAAATGGCTGTTTACCGCTCTACCTATGTACCAGTCCTGACCTATGGGTGTGAGTCATGGGAAATGACAACAGCTCACAGAAGCCAGCTGCAGGCCTCGGAAATGAGATACCTGAGAAAGGTGGTCCAAGTGACAAGAAGGGACAAAGTCCGCAATCAGACAATACGTCAAGATCTTGATACCCAGCCCTTACTAACCCGAGTAGATCAGTCACAGTTACGATGGTTTGGACATGAATGCAGAATGGGAGAAAATCGGCCACCATGGCAAGCATGGGAGGCTAAGAACCAGGGAACCAGACCTCCGGGACGACCCAGGGTGCGCTGGGAAGACAACATCCGACAGTCCCTAACTGACAGAGGACTGGAATGGAACAAAGCCAGAAAGAAAACTGCTGATAGAGACGTCTGGCGATCTCTCTGGCAAACCTCTACACCCCAAGGTAGAAGAGGAGCGACTAAGTAAGTAAGTAAGTAAGTAAGTTGAAGTTAACCTGGTAAGTCATGTGACTATCATAAACATCTGGGGATTAGATGAGCGATGTATTGAGAGAGCCCATTGTATTTCTGTGGAATTCATTCAGTTTTAGTGCTTCAACTTATGTACGCACCTGACGAGATGCAGCGAAATATGCCCAGCAATAAATTGTGCAAGTTTTGTTTGTGTGCTCATTATTTAAATAGTTGATTATCTTGTTCATTTCATAATTGGGTGTTGATTTCATCAATCTAATAATCAATCTGTGTCAGCAGACTAGAGATAAGTTATGTGGAGGATGCAGATTTTAACTAGGATAGAAACAACATAGATTTTATAACAAGCATAATGAAGATGTCTTGAAGGGAATTACCTTACAAACACAACTTGATTATTTTCATCAGAAGAATTAAAATCTCATTCCTTGGGCACATTGTGGTAAGGGAAACAATTTCCCAAAGAATTAGACTATGTTATGACAGCAGAAAAGCTCAAGGGGAAGAGATGCAGGGAGTATCAAGAGAGGGATTTTGGAGTCTGTAGCAAGTGAGGGATTTTGAACAATCTGGCATCGAGAACATCTGTATAAAAAATTATTGATAGTGCACGAGATAGAAGGTTTGAACAGACATGGTGACCAATTGCCACAGGCATTGTACACAATCCCTGTCCCCACATGGGTCCATATTTTCATTATTTTGAAGCCCCACCCTGCTTGTTGCCAATGGGGCCCTAATATAACCTAACAGCTGAACATGGTTTCTGGGCCCTCTCCACAGATTATCCTCATCGGAATCACAGCACTTTGTATCACTGGGTGTTTATCGCTTAGTGTGATGTCCTGGTGGGGTAAAAAGTCAGTCAGTCAGTTATTGTAAGAAGTAATACATTTCTCTGCCTGTTTTTTGTTCTGGCTTTTCTATGAAATATTAAAAGATGTTGCATTAAATACCCAGGCTAGTATTCTAAGGAACCCTCTGTGGTGGATTACAAATGTGAAGATGTTGAGGTTGGCCTCTATTATGATATAAAGATGTGTGCAGCAGGACACGAAAGATATGGGTATTGTGGTAAATTTGTGGGAACAAATTGCTCTGGATCATGTGGCATTGAGAAGAAAAATCAGGAACGGAAAAGGAATACATGGGAAAATGTCTGTAAACTGATTAGGAGCTGAGCATCTGAGAAAATCAACAATAACTATCTAAAATGTGCATTGGCAACAGTGGTCTTGAAATCCAATTTCCCATTTGGAAGACTTTTTTAAATTGTGAGTGGGTCTTGTTAGCTACACTCGCTGTTACCACGGATTACAAATCTATGCCTCTATGTAGCTCAATATAACGCTATTCCCTGGAAAGATGCAAAAGTGCCAACAACAAAGTATTTCGAGCAGATCTTGCAGTTTATCTGTTAAACTGTTCTGTTTGCTTGACATTAATCTATTTTATTGTATGCAATTAATCTGGCTAAACTGCTGAAGTCCAATCAACAAACTTGTTACTGTGATCTTTCCAGAATCATGATTATATCAGTGAGCAACCAGTTACTTTCTGGACTGAGCACAAGGACAAGATACATGTAAGTGTTGAATCTAACCAAAGAAAGTAAAATATTTAGGTATAGTTAATGACTCATCGTATTTTCGGTAGTGACAATAAATCAGTTGCTATAAATACAAGGTATACACCAAAAATGAGATGGGCAAAGAGCACAAAGCAAACCAAGAACATATGGAAAGATAACATCAGAGAAACTCAACAACAGCGAGATGTGTCTGTGATCGAGGCGGCCAGAAGCAGAACCTTATATCTCCCTCAAAATCCAAAGCGGTATAGGAGAAGTGAACAAGAAGAAATTAAATTACATGCAAATATAAATGCTGTTTTTACAGTGAGAACAGACAAAACTTCATGTACACTAGGTCATGATGTAGTGGCCAAATCCATTCCATATCATCATTGTCCAACCAGAGATGTACAATTCTGAGATGGTTCAACAACCAGGACTATATCCAGGTGAACACTTACACCTGATATAACGATTAAACCCTGAACTCTCTGTTAGCAAACAAGTACTCTATCCACTATAGTGCCATACTTGAGATGAAGATTTTACCTACATTTAGTTATAATTATCAGGGACTTGTGGTGGGTTTAGGTAAACATGTAATGCCTGTAATTGTAAGTGCCTGTTGTAACACAAGGTGAATCTAAGTTATCACAAACACATGACTGGATGCTCAACACTCGGCTTTTCCATGCTTGCTAAGTCCTCTGATGAGCCAGCCATCCCAGTGTTGTTAGTTGTGTATCCTTTACAGGACGTTTCAGAACCAACCCCAGCATTTTTTGGCTGTTGTTGTTTAAGCAAATTTACGTCCAGTAGTTTGCATTTGCTTTGTGGGCGGTCGGCTTCTCAATATCACTGTCAAAACCAACACAAAGCGCAGGGCCCGCAGCTGGAATTGAACCCAGCACCCTGGCATTACAAAGCGCATTCGCAACACCTAGCCACAGATGCAGACTTTCCCAGTGTACATCTACTAATTGTGATGTAAAGTATCACACCAACATCCTTTTCTTTCCAAAACATTTCCCGATACTCATATTAAGCTGGGTCAATCACAGTCCAGTTCTGAGACAGATATGGAACTAGTATAGTATGAACAGTAAGTATAGTAATCTTCACCATGATTAGTGTCTTATTAACTTTGTTGCTATAATGTCTAGCACTTTGACTTGATTTGTTTGTTTCATGAATTGTGTCACACAAGTTAGTTTACTTCTGGCTAGATAATGCATTCTTACAAAGGTTATAGTTGAATATATTTAGCTCTGGCACCTATATAAAGTTTATGACTATGTTTATTCAGTTTGGTTTAAACAACCAATCAACATCATAGCACAAGGATAGTAACCCATAAGTGCTCAGTTCTACTTCTAACTCAAGCAAGTCCGAAGAATCTCAGCGCAGTGCATGAACTCTGTTGCACCGGCGAGGATCTTGAAATACTTTGGGTAGATTTTTAACTTTAAATTGTGCCTGGGCAGCGCCGTTGGGCTACTCTTTTCTATTTCAAACTGCCAAAGGATTTTTTTTTTACATGCACAAGAATACACACTGGCATCCGATCTTACTACCCAGAGACCAGGGAGAATTACTAAAAGTCCACGTGAAAAAAATCCCAGCCTTCCCCAGGGCCTGAACCAAGGACCTCCAGCACTCGAGGCGGACATCATACCTCGAGACCACTCAGGTTATGACTGTTGCAGTGGGGTTTCCCTAGTGTTTGAAAGTGTGGAGCAGAGCTGTTCAACTAAGTTTACTCAGAGGCCAACATTTTAGATAGGGGATTGTCACAGGCCAGAGCCTAGCAAGATCATTAATACAACTGGCAAGGATCTGCCAGCCGCTTGATATGCCTGTGTGGGCCACCAGTTTGAACAACTCTGGTGTAGAGCACTAATGAAAGGCTGGCTGAATTTTTTATGTCTGAGAAGCACAGTAAGTTTTAAATAAGGTTACTGACCCTGAATTTGTCTGCAACTGAAGAATAAGAATGGTTTTATTCTGCTTCATTGATGAATGTTGTGACTGCTTTTACCTAGAATATGTTTTAGTGTTCTGCATTTCTCCTGCCTTTCTATCCCCCAGTGGAGCATAGGCCCTCAACCAACTTACGCCAAGTCGTTCTGTCCTTCACCATTACATCAAGCTATCCCCATCTTTCTAACTTCATTCTCCAGCTCTCTTTTCCACCTTTTTTAGCCTTCTTTTATTCATATGCCCCTGTTGGTTCCAATGCAAAGACATTCTAGTTGTGCTGTTCTCCTGTTTTCTCAGTGTGTCCTATCCAGCATCAGCGTCTTTTCCTCACTTCTTGGTCCACTGGAGCCTGTTTAGTTCTCTCCCAAAGCTCTACATTAGTTATTCTATCATACCATTTAATTCCTTCTATTCTGCGCAGGCACCAGTTAATGAATGTCTGTAATTTATTAGTAATTGCCTTAGTTATCCATGTTTCCGCCCCATACAAAAGTACTGATTTGACATTAGAATTAATAATTTTAAGTTTAGAATTTCTTTTAATCCCCACAAATTCTCTAGTGCTATGAAAGCTCCTCTTAACTTTTGTAATCTTATTTTAATATCTCTATCAGTTCCTTCATCTTTATCTACATTACTGCCTAAATAGGTGTATGACTCCACATCTTGGAGTGTGGTGCCATTAAAAAAAAACCACATTACTATTTGCCTGATTTATTCTCATTGTCTTTCCTTAATGGATTTTCAGACCAAGCTGCTGTGATCTCGCATCAAGGTATATTTAATTTATCTTGCATCTGATTCCATGCATGGGACAGAAGAGAAATATATATAAAAATATATTAGTGTTCTGCATTTACCCTTATAAGGGTGGCTGGCATGCTGTGTTATGGTTTACAGCTAGACTGTGCTATCTGCATCCTTTGGCTCAACACATCCAATTTCAGAAACCCCTAATTAGTGGCCTTTTATGACATGCATGTTGAGAAGCAGTGGGTCTGTTCTTTTGTTGTTGTTGTAACCTGTATCATATGATAACATAGCTGAGACTTTGACATAACATTGTATTATATCCTGCAGGGCGTCACTCAGGTAAAGACTGGAGATTCTGCCTTTAGACGAAATGATGCCTTCACTAAACCAATTGGAGAGTACTGGGATGAACCAAAGCCTATAGAACTGGACAACTACCCTATGATGTAAAACTCTACAGACGTCATTAACATGGAACCTTCAAGTCCTGGTTATATATATATATAAAGGTTAATTATATGAAGCCAAAAACATCAAGTCATGATCCAGTATTCTATTGAGTTCGTTATTATTTTGTTACAAGATGCTGGCCATATGTCTTTACTACATAATATTGTCCTTAATAGGAGAAAGTTTAAATTAGGCATTCAAAAATATATCACATTTTAACTGAACATATGAAGTATTTGTTTGTTCAGTGTGTCTTTCTCTATATTACATTGCACAATGTACCCTATTGACCTGAACCGCTGCTCCAGCTAGTTTTTCATAATCCTTGCCCTTCATTTGCTTCTATAAAAATCTCTTGTGGACTGTTTAGATGTAGTCATTAACTCTTTGGGTACCAAGGAATGCATCAGGTGATTTATAACTATTTTTAACTGCCCTCTGGTATTAAAAGGGTTAAAATATTGCTGACCACCAAAATCCGATGACCATCTCAAGAGTGCAGCACAAATACAAAAGTGTAGAAAATCATTTACCGTGATAAAAAAAAAAAGAGCTAATGCAGTTTGAGAAAGCATATTAACTTAAAATGGGTGCAATCAATTAAATTCTGCCTACGAGCATGCCAGAAATATAGCATTTTTGGGATATCTAATGATTTCTTCTGCTGCACTAGTTTCAAAATGTCCTATCTCTAGAGATGGGCAGGCTTACTGTTCCACTAACTTGAATGTTATCCCTATACTGTAGTTTGCCACAGCTGATCAACACAAAGTGTTTCTAAAGTTCTTTGGTCATTACGAAGACAGTTTTTAGACAGTGTGATCCTCAAATTATGACTGTCCATTTTGAGGATCAAGACCACTGCTCAGGTCACCACTTTCTTAATGTGACGCCCAGTGGTCATTCCCTCCAAAACCTAGGACAGATTCTATTTTCTTTTCGGCTCTAAGGCTTATCAGATCACCCAACTAAAACCATGCATACAAACTAATGTGCAAAGAGAATTATTTAAAATGCACAATAGCCCAATTACTTCATCTTTAGTCTAGGGTAGGCACAATGCCTACTACTGAAGTGTTGGAGAAGGGGGATACATTTGACTACCCTGGGTCTCTACTGCTCTGTCTAATAAAAGCAAAAACAAAACAAAAAACTATAAAAGAAAAATAATGGAAAAAAAGAGGTAGAAAAGGGTAAGAAAAACATCCAGTGTTTTTCAGCTTTAAAAAATTATTTGTCACAATGAACAGACAGAAAGCCGTTTCCCTATTTCTTTGGTCTTTGGACACGTTTTACCAGTCACCTCATTTCCAACCGTCCTGAAGAAGAGTTTCATTTACAGCCAGTAAAGCGAGGTCTTTTAAAATAACTGCTTGTGACAGAGAGAAGTGGCAATCTTAGGAACAATATTATTGATGTCTGACCATTATAATTGTCACATTTAAAATCTTGCATTAGTGTTTATCAGAAGTTTCTTATGGTTGCTACCACCAGTAACGAAAGAATGCTGCATGTTTCCTGGTTTGAAACAATGTTTGCAAGATATTACCCAAACTTCTCCAGTGAAAAATCAAACTATCAGTTGTTTATTTTAGAGATCATCTTCATCGCACATGACCATAAGAGCTCCAATCTCCTCCTGAGTACGTCCCCAGGTGTTTTAGTCTAACAACACCCATTCTGATCTGTCTCATGTAACGACGTGTGGCTCCCATGTAATTTTCCTGTTTCGTGGCTCCAGCTGGTACACCCAGGGTATGCAGTCTATTCAGTGAAAAAATCAGTTCCCCAGAAACTGAAAGTCTCACAGCATTTAGTCTCCCGTATGGCACGGTGTCGTTCACATCACAAATGCAAATTTTATGTAGACCCCTAGGGATCGTCAAGGGAGTTCATGCTTTGTGCAGGCAGCTAGCAGTTCTGCAAAGAGGGACCGAGCCATATGGGATAAAACCCGGTGCATTAAAGTCGATCCTCTTGACTTTAGCTTTAAAGATGGCCTATTCCTGAGAGTTGCATTGCCAGCCAGAGCGTCTGCTCTCTCATCCCCTTTTACACCAGCATCCCTGGGACAAAAATGGTGATTTTGCAAAATACTGAGTGCTGCATCAGTTAAGTAATTGTGTATTATTTACGGTATTAGCTTTCTTCTAGTCCATGTCATGCAGCATTTGTAATCGTATCTGTCAACAGCCTCGTAGTTTTCACGCTAAAGCTGAATTATGTTATTTTACGCAATAAAATTTTATTCTTAATAAAAACTCTTGGTGTCAATACCCGTTTGCCAACCTGTATACATCTGTGAGGAGTGCCAAGCAAAAAGAACTAAAATTCAAGGCATGCAGATACCTAGAATCTACAAACTAATGTACTACTGGTTAGTTGCGTATTCTTTACAGGATGTTGCAGAACCAACCCTAGCAGCCTCTGGCTGTTGTGTGGTTTCTCTAAGCAAATTTACGTCCAGTAGTTTGTGTACTACTACTCTTGTTAATATTATGACCTGGCTCACTAGCAGAGGGGATATAATAGCTGTTCTCCTTCACTGTTGAAACTGACATTACAATACTATCCCCCGAAGGTCACTTCCTTAACATAAATAACCCCATTAGCCCTTAGAGATATACAAGAAAATCACATAATTGCACAATAGTGTTATATTTAAGACATTAAACCGAACATCCAGACAGTAAAATGTTAAAATAACTAACTTCCTTCAAAGTCAGAGTGTATCTGCCTGAAAGGCAATGAACCAACAGTTTGCATAAAATAAGCCAGATCTGTAAAACATGTGTATTCAAAATTCAAGTTCTGGTTTAAGACCAAAGTCCGGAAGTGGATGAACAATCAGAACCTTTCCCTGTAGTTTACAGCCTGTGAATGCTAAGAAGAAGAAGAACAGAAATAATCCTAGCCAAAAACAGACAAAGACAATGCAAAGAAAAACTATATTCTATGATTCATTTATAGTTTTGGTAGCAAATAGTGCAAAATCCTGTTGTGAGTGAAGCTGTGTACCACGATATCTTGCAAAAGTATTTTTAACTACACTGAATGTAATATCAAGATATATATATGTATATGTGTTCATACAATTGTGCATATTCTGCGAACAAATAAACACACACACACATTATACAGTGAGAACATTTTATTTTTATATTTCAGATAACACAAAGTAATGACACTATAACATGTAATAACCAAAGTATTCAGGGCCTTCTTGTAATTCTGCCCCAAAAATATCCCACTTTTAACAGTGACTTCAAACTGTAAATTAACACCCTAATGATGTTTGGACATAAAGTGTTGTCATCACATACTAGGCCATGACACACTACCAGGTCAAATGTTGAATTAGAAATCGACATCACAGCACTCGAGACATTCCCACCAACATCCCCATCTTCAATAGCAAACACAAAGTTCCGATTCTGATGGCACCAGTAACAGTCTGATTGTATCTCCATCTCACTTATCCCCTGAGCGTCAGCCAGACCTACTGGTCACTCCTTGCAGCACAATTTTTCTTACACCGCGATGAGCTATTTGTGCCTCAGCACTGTCTGCTCACTCCCAAAGGACCCTTACAACATCTAGTTTGCCATGCATCAACTGACCACCAAGTGGTGCTGAACCAGCCAGTCAATCTGTCAGTTCATTTCCCAACACACAGGCATGCCCTGTAGATAATATCAAAAAGCCACTATCTAGAACCTCTGAAGCAATGCAACGTCAGATGGCAAGTACCATTCCTAATAGCCGTCCCTTCCTGGAAAATTATCAGAAAATTAACTTGTACCCCTGTTTATGAGATGGTGTCAACCTCGCGGCTGTAGAGGTCAGGAAAAAAAAACAACTAATACTGCTCTGAACGCAGAGAAACATCTTGGGAAGAAAGGAACAGAAAATCACTAAACAGGCACTGAAATAGGAAAGTGAAGAAACAAGAACATCCAAGAGAAACCCTGAGATGAACTCTGATGAGAGAGGCCAAAGATGCTTGACTGGATTCCATCCATGATATAGAAGTGATTGCACAGGACAGAAGGGAGTCGAGAAATAGTCTGGGTACCACATGTGACATACAATGGCATAACAGGACAATGAATGCAGACCAACAGGCAAAAGAAAGTCAGCTCTTTAACATTTGTAAACTGTTTAAAAACTTAGATTACCCTGTTTACATAATGTACCAGTCTGTTCAGTTAAAGTATGATCTAAAAGAAAATCACCCTAACCCAACCGAAAGGTTCAGAAACATGATCATGTCAGTGCAAAAGATATTCAAATTTCTCCTTGTGGAAAATCCTATCAGCGACTAATATTTCCAGTGCAAGCGACGAGAAAGAGTAAAAATTAGAGATAAAAACTTAAAGAACCTCCCACAAAACTAACAAACAACAGACCAACGCAGCATAGTATATTTTTTCCTATGCTTATAGTTATACAATAAAGTTCTGTACAAATTTCCCTCAAGCGTCTATCTTCTTCGTCTGTCATCCTTTCTTGATCTGCAAAGAAATACAAATTGCAATCTGAATGAAAAATCAGATTAGGAAGATATCATATGTGACTTAAGCACAATAGAACATTCAAAAAAGCACCCAATATGAGTATGATTAATGTAAAATTAGAACATGTATGTTTTTAAAAATCTGTAAGACCACTGCAAAATCATTCTATCTCTTTCCCCACGTGGATTCCATGAGAAAGTAGGAAGTGGGGGTGGGGGGAGGAAGAATAGACTACTGCCCCTTCAAGAAGCATCTAAAAAACATGACTAATTAAGGGTTCACTAAAATTGGTCAGCGCCTGTGGCTGGGGTGTTGAAAATGTGTTTCATTTCCGAGGTACACTGATTGATGACAGCTTCAGGCGATTTGGCAGCGGACCACCTTGCGTTGATTTTGACAATGGTATTGAGAGCTAGAGCTAACTGTTCAGAAAGCAATGGTTAGTAAAACCAAACAGCCCCAAAATGTCAGGGTTGGTTCTGCAATGTCTTGTAGAGGATCCCCAACAAATTAACTAAAAATCGGACGTGTTGGCCGGAAAGACGCAGATACCACAAAATAAAATGTGTTTCATTGTTTACAACAATCAGCCAGTTATTTTTACCTTTTAAAAAATCCTCACAAATGAAGACTAAAATTCACTGACCTGTCTTTTCGAGGTCCTCTCACAAATGCCCAATCAACGCTGATTTTCTGTCCCAAAATCTCAGTGCCATTGAGTGCTGTCATTGCATTCTGTGCCTCTTTGAATGTTTCATATTCAACCAGCGCATACCCCTGAAAAAAATAAAATTAAAATGTAATTTTCCCATACAACACAGGTGAAATAACATAACAACTGACTTCATACACAGTATCTACATTTATTCAATTCACAAATTATGATGGTTTCTCAGTGGTAAAAGTATCACAATTGATGTCACTGCACATTGGGCATACTCATGCATGTCTAATCTTACAAAGAAGCAGCCACTCCAAGTTACCTCTACTGACTGCTAATATGAGGAGTTGCTTTTGTATCCTATCTCTGCCTTGAAGGCGGCATAGACGTGCTTCACCATGATTTACCCTCAGGTCGTGCAATAGTGTTAGTCCCAGAGATTCATCACTATCCTATCCACTAGTCCAGTCCGTACAGCACTGATAATATCTGTCTTGTCCATGAGCTGTGTGAAGTTGTTGACCTCATGCTCAGAAAGTCATGGGCTCGTTTCTGACACAACTGTTAGGTTTAACCCTTTCGCTGCTATGGAAGTCTTTTCCTGTATGCTGCTACGCCCGTCTCTGGACGTTAATTTTTTTCTTGACCCCCAGTGCTATGGACGTACCAACCCATTTTTGGACCTTTCTTACATATTTCTGTGACCTGTTGTGTCTCAGAAACCAAAGGGCAATATACATTAGCTATATATAGATTTAACTGACACATTTACATATGATTAAAAGCACTGGCACGTGCATTTAGGTGTGTTTACTGCATTCAGCGTTATCCCGTCGCTTTGTTCACCGTGACAGCGTGGTCGGTGATCTGTGTATTTTAAGCCCTGATATATATTTGTGGGTTTGGATTATTCTACACTTTGTTAGTACTAAATGGCAAGAACACTTGTTAAAGTTGATGAAGAATTGATGGAATTTCTGTCAAGAAGTGACAGCGAAGATGACTTTGAAATGTGAACTTCTGACAGTGAACAAGAAGATTTGACTAGGCCATCAGTATCGACTGCTCAAACCGACGTGTCCAAGAAAAAGCTGTTACCCTGTCCGACGTCCTCATCATCGGGATCAGAAAGCAGCGACAATGAAACTCCATCAAAACTAGCAAAAAATTGATCAGTTGTCTTGGTCGAACGATGATTTGATTACCAGTAGTGCACAATTTTGATTACTCCAGCTCTGGCTTTATTTCTGCTACTGTAAATTCAAACAGTTCAGTGCTTGATTTTTTTAAAAACTTTTTAAAAAAAATGGAATCACTGATGACTTTAATCGCAGTGGAAACTAACAGGTTCTGCAAGGAAGTAATTGAGAAGGCACCAGTCACTACAAGTTCTTGTATTTCCTGATGGACAGACACATATTCGGACGATCTTTTTTTTCTTCTGTCTGTCTGCTAATGCTTAGAATAAAGAAACTCAAAAGAAATGAGTACTTGAGCAAAGACTATTTGCTAAAAATTCCCGTGAAATAATGTTGAGGGACAAATTTTTACTATTGTTGAGAATGTTACCTTTCCAAGACAACAGTGCTCATGCAGGCGCCGATGGACTACAAAATTAGACACATTATTGATATTCTGCGCACATCATTCATTATTATCATTCACACATCACAATGCTTCAAACGGTGGTCGGTATCACGGCCGCCTCAGAACCGGAGGGTCGTGTGTTCAACCCCAACTTTTTTTTTTTTTTTTTTAATATTGTAAATTTTCCTTTCAGTTCCAGCTACTTTTCAGCAACAGATGACTCAAGTATTATAATTTTTTTTTTTTTTTTTAGTATGTAAAAACAGCTATGATTAAAGTGGGAGCCGTGGTAGATTTGTCAATCAAATTTTGTGATACGGACTGGGAACAGTTTTTTTTCCATTCCCCCCCCCCCCCCCCCCCCCCCCACCCCCCCCCCCCCCCCACCCCCCCCCCCCCCCCAATTCCACACCCCCCACCCCCCCCCCCCCCCCCCCCCCCCCCCCCCCCCCCCCCCCCACCCCCCCCCCCCCCCCCCCCCCCCCCCCCCCCCCCCCCCCCCCCCCCCACCCCCCCCCCCCCCCCCCCCCCCCCCCCCCCCCACCCCCCCCCCCCCCCCCCCCCCCCCCCCCCCCCCCACCCCCCCCCCCCCCCCACCCCCCCCCCCCCCCCCCCCCCCCCCCCCCCCCCCCCCCCCCCCCCCCCCCACCCCCCCCCCCCCCCCCCCCCCGCCACCCCCCCCCCCCCCCCCCCCCCCCCCCCCCCCCCCCCCCCCCCCCCCCCCCCCCCCCCCCCCCCCCCCCCACCCCCCACCCCCCCCCCCCCCCCCCCCCCCCCCCCCCCCCCCCCCCCCCCCCCCCACCCCCCCCCCCCCCCACCACCCACCCCCCCCCCCCCCCCCCCCCCCCCCCCCCCCCCCCCCCCCCCACCCCCCCCCCCCCCCCCCCCCCCCCCCCCACCCCCCCCCCCCCCCCCCCCCCCCCCCCCCCCACCCCCCCCCCCCCCCCCCCCACCCCCCCCACCCCCCCCCCCCACCCCCCCCCCCCCCCCCCCCCCCCCCCACCCCCCCCCCCCCCCCACCCCCCCCCCACCCCCCCCCCCCCCCCCCACCCCCCCCCCCCCCCCCCCCCCCCCCCCCCCCCCCCCAAGGGGGGTGGTAGCTTCGTTAGTCAAGTTTGTGGGCCACCATCGTGCCTCTGACTTGTCACCACTCGGGCCAACCACACAACTCCCCAGGGTAAATTTTTTTTAGGTGTACAAAATATAGCCCTCACCGCCGACACATCTTTTGCGTTTGGAGGATAGAAAAATATTACACAGCAGAGACTTTTTTCCACATTGCTCAGCACAGGGCAGACAGCTACAGCCGGGAATGTAGCAGCGAAAGGGTTAAGAGTGGAATTTTGATCGAGGCCATTGCTAAAGTTAAGGAGTTTGAGCTTTGTGTGACACTCTCTACAGGTGGACAGACATTCTGCAGAAAGAAACCAATCTATAAAAGACTAGGAGTGCCCAGTGTGAAAAGACATCGATTTTGATTAACATAACATTGCCTGTATGTAAATGTGACAGAAAGAACATGTTTAATGTTATCCAATCTACATGGAGGAACGATCTGCAAATTCTATGTGATGTTTACACATGGCGCCACAGGATGGTGATGAATCTACATACTAAACATAATGTTATTTTTTTTAATTTGCAAGTTATAAAGGTATTCATAAAACATTACCTTGAGAAAACCAGTTCGCCTGTCAAGGTTAGCATGTAAGTTCTTGATTTCACCATACTCTGCAAATTTTTCATGAATGTCATCCTCTTGAGACTCCTCATGGACGCCAGTTACAAACAGAATCCAACCCTCAACAGCTGAAATATTGTAGTGACAAAATAACCACAACCTTCAAATTTGCAACAATGTTCTTTCAGCAGAATAAAAAAGCTAAGTATGCAGTATCATGCAGTCCACCAGGAATGAGTTTTTGTCAGGAGAATACTGAAAGTTTGTCTGGTTGGGATATACTGTCTCATGACCGCCTCTCACCAGGTGATGGCAAATGAGGAAGCGGAATGCAGAAAGTTCTGCTGCATCAGAGGACTAAGCGTGCATGGGGATGCTGAACGTGCAAAGATGTCGACTGTGATAACATAACATTCATAGAAAAATGCCCTTTACTTTTACCTGCTCATTTGTAAAAATAAGTTCTTTGCTTAATTATCTTATATTTCAGGAGGGCATTAGGGCATGGACAGAATGAAGTATTTCACCTGCAACTGCATGTACTGCTAAGAACAAAACAGAAGAGGACTCTGATAGTTGGTTTCTCAACTCTGATACAGAATGAAATTTTGTGAAATAAAAAAAATTCAAACATATATTAAATTTGTGTCTACTCATTTGTAAACATTACCCAGCAAGTGCCGACTGCTCTATAAAATATAGGTCTAGCCCTATATGCCCATTATACATGGAAACCTCCTTCATGTGGAGGGCACGCAGGAGTAAATGTAACGAAAGAGCTGACCAGCCGGCAAGTGATGCATCAATGCAAATGGTGCGTACTAGGTTAGGGGTTAATAGCAAATCTATGACGCTAACACGACGGTGTGACCGAGAAGTTGAGCATGGTTAAGCACAACTATGCCGTCTTCGTCATAAAGACAGGAGATATTATAACCAACTTGAATGTGCAAAGATGTTGACTGTGATAACACAAAATACAAGACAAAGTATCCTTTACTCATACTTAAGTCATTTGTAAAAACATGTTCTTTGCTTAATTATCTTAATCTTCAGCAGGGCATTCACCAATAATATTTTCTATTCTTTTTGAAAACTATAACAGGTGTAAGGTGTGTACAATCATGTCCCCAACAGTGCCCATGCAAAACAAAAATTTGAGCCATTTATAGGTTTCAACTGAGGATAAACTCTAAATATCACAAAAACGAAATCACTGGCCCTTACAATGTTGAAGGTCACCTTAGTGGTTTTCTGTATGTATCTTGAGCGACTCAAGTGTTCCGAGTTTTCATTTTTTGGGAAGATTCAGCTATGCCATCTATCCATTTCTTGCTTGGTCCTCCTCTCACCTTATGCCCATATGTTCTGTTGTAGAAAGTTTCACATACATTTCGTCTGGCTGCATTCTTACTAGATGACCAAACCGCTCCATACTCTGCCAACGTAATTTAGTCTCATTCAACTCTGTTCTATGATGCTGGTCTTTTGTGACCTTGTTCCTTCTTGAGTTACTGGTGACCCTTCAGCACATCAACTACAAAACTGAGAGGCATGATAAACATATCTCAAACAAAATGGATTAGTTGGGGGGAGGGGAAATTAAAAATATACAATGGACAAATCCTCACATCTCTGTGGGCCTGGACCTTCAGATTCATCAACATGTATCTCCATGCCTTCAAACTGGTCAACACCACTTCGAGTTGGACCCTCTGTAGGATAGACAAATGATGGAAATTAAACAACAAATCATACTTCATGGGAGAGTGAGTCAGTGAGTGAGTGAGAGAGAGAGAGAGAGAGAAAACAATAAGACAAAACAGTTTTTTTTAAAATTAAACATATTTAATTTAAGCATACTGTATTAGACTGAAATATAATCAAAATGTTCTTCTTTCATCTTTGTGTTCATCAGCTGTAAACTCTGAAGGAAACTGGTTGTTCATCTACTTCTGGACTTTACTCTTGTTCTAGAACTTGAGTTTTGCGTGGACAACCATTCTACAAATCTGGCTGGTTTGCATACAGAGTGCTGGTTTCTTGCCTCTCAGACAGATGCACCCCAACTTTAAAGACTCTTAAGATATGCTTGTAGAGAGGCAGTGGCGTTACTCTTTTTCACCCCATAATGGGATCTCATAACCCATATGGGGATAATAATGTCATTATGACGTTGAATACACCCTGAGGGTGTATTTGACGTTATAATGAGCAGCTTGTCATTCAGGGAACATGTTAACCATTTGATAACAAAAGCATGCAAAGGTCTAGCTGCAATGGGAAACACCCACTGCATCAAGCGCTTTTTAGTGAAAATGGCAACAGACTGAAGAGGGGAAAATCATGGCTAGGTCGGGCAGAAGATGTTATTAGGCAATTATGCAGCCTAACCGATATCACCCCTGGTGCAGAGTGGATACCTGTGCCCCATGCGTTTATTTGTTCATTTACCTGTATTGCTACACTCAACAGGCGATGTAGAGAAGAGAATCATGTTGCTGTTAATGCAGAGGTCAACGCTCTCATCAGTAAAAATTCAAGAAGCAGATGCACTAATCTACACAGACGGACCTGTTATACGCCCCCCCCCAAAAAAAAGCGCATGGGCATTTACAGCACACTCAACGGGCAGAACAGTCAAAGAAGACAACGGCGCCTTCTCCATGACAACCAGCAGCATGATGATGGAGGTGATGGCAGCGATGCAAACGTTCGCCTGGCTCGAAACACAAAAATACACCCGTGTATGTATACTCAGTGATTCAATGAGTATGATCCGGAGGGTTCAGGCAGGTTTGGTGAGAAGAATGGATTGAATCATTACAGAAGCCCACTGTGCATGGAGTCACCTTTATTTTTGTTCTGGGACACGCAGACGTCGATGGAAATGAAAGATCTGACAGGTTGGCTGGATCCTCTGCCACTACCGACGGTCAGCCTATGGATCATGCTGATATTATTAATGCCCTCAGAGAAATGGGAAGGATAGAGGACTGACAGACTTGGGAATTAAGAACGGCATAGCAAAAAACGAGACGCACACCAGAAGACTTGTTAAACAACATAGAACTGGTACTATTAGCCATTGGACGTTGGGGTTCATACTGAGGGGAGGTTCTGAGCACGATAACCCAACTAACTAACTAAATGTCATTATGAAATGTTTTATCATCACCACCAATTGCCTTGTTGACTGATAGGGGTGACAATGCTTCACAACTTGTGACCAATAGGATCTATATAACATGTTCCAGCTTTTTTCTCCAGTATGGACTCAAGAAACAAAATGTGACTGGCCCTGCCTAAATATTTGTAATAAACTGCTGGATCATAAACTGTAAGCATATTTCTACAGCATCATATTTCTTAAGTCCTCAATATTACTTGGTAAAGGGTGGGGGAAGAGGGGGGGGGGGGGTGTGGCTTGTATACTAATTATATAGGAATCTGAGAAATATTTTAAAACTGCTTCCATGCATCATACAAGAATTCTTTACCTAACGCATAGTAAGTTAAAGTAGTTTTTCCCAAGAGTAATCCTAAGAATATGTACCTATCATAAAACCTATTGTCTGTGCCCTTTTCCTCTATAAATCGACATCATTAAATTTTGATTTGATCTTGTTCCTTTTGCTATTCTCAGTTATACTCATTAACAGCCCTGCTGTATGATTCATAACATGTATAACTGTACTGACATTGTGCAATGTTTATATTCTAAAACTAAAAACCCCTGGTTTCATTGGCAGAACTCTCAAGTCAATTATAAAAGTACCCCTCTCGACACCTTCAGGCATACAGGGCTAGAACTATTTTCTTTACAGACCAATCGGCACTTAGTGGGTGATGTATCAGTTAACTTTAACCACTATTATTATTTTATGAACTAAAACTTTTAATAAGATAATGATAAAGAAAATACAAACCTCCACCAAAACCTCTTCCTTTACGTTTCTTGGCTTTTTCCTTGAGTTTCTGAAGACCCTCTGCAATGAATACAAAGGTGATTTGATTAAAAATTAAAAGTAAAAAAGTTATAATTAATCTTCTTCTTCGCGTTCTGGCGTAAAGTTCTGGTGGTTCGTCCACTTCAGGACTGCAGTCATGCTCCAGAACCTGAGTGTTGCGTGTGCATCAGTTTTACAGATCTGATTCAACTGAATGCAGACTGCTGTTTCCTTGCCTCTCAGGCAGATGCACTCCGACTTCAAAGGAAGCTCCCCAGTTAGTCGACTCTTACAACATGCTTTTGAGGAGGCAATAGGTCTATTCTTGTTTTCCCCACAATAGGGCTCGAACCCACACGGGGGTTATAATTAATAATAATAATAATATATAAAGAACAGCTATCTTCTGAATACCGGCCACATATGGCGGCAAAAAAAAACATTCTGACAAGGCGTCAATCACATGTAAATTATGGACTTCTTCCCTACGTAAATAACGTGGCAAAAGTAGAATAAATGTCCAATGATGATGTCGCAAAACGCAACAAACCTTCAAGTTAAACTTGCTGCCGAGAGTTTCACCCATGCCGCATGTAGCTGCGCAGAGAAGGGCTAAACTAGATAGCTGGGACTCACGAGCAGCATCGTGCAGCTTCCTAATTTTATTTGCTCCTGAGTCCCAGCCTTCTAGTCTAGCCGTTAGCCCTTCTCAGTGCCGCGGGAAATACTCTCGCCGGTGAAAACAGCGTTACCAATCACCAATCCGGCACTAGACGAGCCTTTTCCGATCATATTTAGGCAATTTAGCTGAGTTTCAATGGCGCCACAGCCACAAAGAGCAGATTTTCGGGCATTATTTGCAACTTTTGTGCCACAATTTCCAGATGTAAAGGCGTCAATAATCGGAAAGTAGTCGATTTCGTCATTTTCCTTTTTTTCTTTCTTTATTATTTTTTTTCGAGTTCAAGTTTTTTACTGTTTACAACACATAACCTAATGAGGCCCGGTCAGAGTGTTTTATTGTGACCGCCATCATATATGGCCGATATTCAGATGACAGCCTAAACTAAAGAACTTCTATCTACTTTCGTTCACTTCAAATATAGTATTCTGTGCTGCCCGTGTCGTGTGAATCAATGAGCGATAGAGACACTGATGAACACTTACAAAGTTTACACTGCTAGCCACAGAGAATCAAGAATCCGAATAGAGAAAAATCTGCAATTTATAATATAACTTAATGATAATAACAACGCACGGTGAACACAGGAGCAATCTTAAAAGAAAAATGTATAATTCTGACTTACGGTCTCCCTCTTCATCAATTTCGAAATCATCATCGTCTTCTTTCGTTACAAGGAGTACGTCCGCCATTTTGTTCTCTTGCACTAGAAAAATAAAAAACGGTCGAAAGCGTGGTCTTACTTTTTAAATATTGGCTAACATCTTCTTACTAAGTATCTATCGCAATTTTGTAAAATACTCCATAACAAGGATCCACAATTTTCTAAAAAAACTTAGCGCCGGCGACTGTTTTTAAGTCTAATTTTTTTAGTACTAGTCTGGTAGAACCCTTATGGTGCGTACCAGCACCTTTTATTTGAGATTTATTTCTCCATCTAAATTTTATCCGGGTTCTTTATAGAACTTCGTTGGGAGACGAAAAGCAGCAGCAGCAGTAGTAGTAGTAGTAGTAGTAGTAGTAGTAGTAGTAGTAGTAGTAGTAGTAGTAGTAGTAGTAGTAGTAGTAGTAGTAGTAGTAGTAGTAGTAGTAGTAGTAGTAGTAGTAGTAGTAGCAGTAGTAGTAGAAAAATAAGTTCCTAGACCCTATTGTGGGTGGAAAGGGGGGGGGGGGGGATAGACACATTGCCTCCCCAACAAGTATGTAGGAGTCGACTAATTGGGGACTTCGATGTCTGGGTGCATCAGCTCAATGGCATAGAACAACCAACTGCACACAAATAACCCAATAAAACGGATATGCACGTGAAACTCAGGCTCTGATACAAAATCAAAGTCTAAATGTACGAACAACCAGAACTTTCCGTCGGAGTTTGGAGCCCGTGAACAAAGAAGAAGGAGGAGGAGAAGAAGAGGAAGAAGAAAAAGACGAAGTTGATGATTCAGACAGAAGAAAAAGAAGGAAGTTGGTGATGCAGACAGAAGAAGAAGAAGAAGTTGGTGATGCAGACAGAAGGAGAAGAAGAAGAAGAAGAAGAAGAAGAAGAAGAAGAAGAAGAAGTTAATGATGCAAACAAGAAGAAGAAGAAGTTGATTATGTAGACAGATGAAGAAGAAGATGTAGTAGTAGAAGAAGAAGAAGAAGTTGATGATGCAGACAGAAGAAAAAGAAGAAGAAGATGTTGATTATGCAGACAGAAAAAGGAGAAAAGAAGGAGATAGGAGCCCTGAATATGCAGTTGCTAGGACTTTTTCACGCCAGGCAGGTTGTAATTTATTCGAAATCGCTTGCGAGGCGGAAATGTTCTCAAGTGACCTTGGTCTCCACCTCGTCCCACATAAAAATGGATGTGAGGAAATGTCATGTGAAGTAAAGTAGGTTAACGTGATTAAACCACCCACTCATTAACTTCAGATATATTTAATAATGGAATCATATATCCAATCCACATTTTGACCCAAGACGGGTTGCTTCCTTTACATTTATTCTTCATTTACTGTGTGTAATAGAAAATGACCCCTTTCCACGCCATTAGGCGTATAGGGCAAGACCTATATATCGGCACAATAAGGGTTGTGTGGTCAGCATCACGCTGGCCGCCTCTACTTCCCGGGACTGCATCCCGTAATCAATGCTGGGTCGACCTGGGATCCAACGTCATTTTTGAAAAAAGTCCGGCTCCGCCAGGTAGCGAACCCACGACCTTCCGATCCTCGGCGAGCGTCTAGCCGCTCCGCCACAGCGACTCCCGTGTAATAGAAAAGAAAGTTGTAAATGATATTGAGGTCAATACAGCAATCCTTTCAATAAATGCACAACATTATATGAGAGTTATAATATGTCACTGACGAGCTGTGTAAATACAATTTGAATTTTTCAAGTATTTAAAAATTGCACTGTGTACACGGCCTAAAGTGACAGGTGCAGATAACTGTTTCATGTTTTCTAAGGCGAAGAGTAGTGATATCTGTGACAGACAGTAAGAGGACGTTTTTCGCAATGGTTTTCGGACATGTATGAGAGACCCACATTTTTTATAGAGCGGAAAGCATTTAATGGTTGATGTGGTCAATAGCATGCCGGCCCCATTTACTTCCAAGGACATGTTCCATTTTGAGCTGGGTTGCGCAGGAGTCGGGTAGATATATATATATATATTATATATATATATATATATATATATATATATATATATATATATATATATATATATATATATATATATATATATATATATATATATATATAAATCCTGCTTCGATGCCGCTCGAAGCGAAGACCTTCGGCTCGGCAAGTAAGCATATAGATCGGAGATAGTAATATCGTTTGACGTTAAGGTGTTAATCAGGTGCCGTATCCACACACACACATACACACACACACACACACACACACACACACACGCACAAATGGATCTCCAAAAGTGTTTTCCGTCTTGGTTGTTTGGTTGTACACTGGCTCAGACTGCGGTTAGTCTATCTGGCGATGTCGTCCTTCCAGTTGTATCGCTGTCTATCCCTTGCCTTCGACTTTTTCACCCAGTGAAAGTTATAAAAGAGTAATATATCTTTTAACATGGCCAAAGTTTTCATCTGCCGTAAAAATTTTTTTTTTTTCAACTTGTCACTTTTCAGAACCTCTGTATTTGATTGTTTTTAAAGAAAAAAAAAAGGGACAGAGGAATTCACGAATATCTGAAGACTTCACAAAATCACAGCACATTAAACAAACGAGCGAGTCATAGCTCGGCCACCTGTCACCTGTTAAACGGCAACGCCAGTCGTACAAAGCTTATACTGACAAAAGAAAAGGAAGATGAATACTCAAGCCTGCTATGACTCACTGACTTTCTACCCCACCAGGACATCACACAAGCGATAAACACCCGATGACACTATGTGCCACCATGTGGGTGAGGATCACCATGGAGAGGTCCCAGAAACCGCGTTCAGCCTTTAGGACATATTTATGGCTTCAAATAACGAAAAATTCCATCCTGAAAGGGACGGGAAATAAGAATAACCAAGCCTACTATATGGTGCATTAACTAGAAAATGAACTAGTAATTAAAACATTCAAAGGATTTTGAAATTGGATATATACAGAGGAATATGTATATTTTAACAAAACTGAATTATTAAATTTAGTTGAGTCTCAGCTCATAGTAATAATATGATTATTACGATCACACACTTAAACAAGGCTTCAGTTACTGAGTCTCAGCTCATAAAACAATTTTAAGAGGGTTGACAACCCCCTCGCCCCAATATTTCATTTCGGCGACGCTCCTGCAAGACACCAACTGAGATAGCACAAGGGCTTCGTCCCCATTGTGAGAATTACTAGGTGCTGACACCAAAGGTTCCCGGACCGTGTTATAATTTGTGACCTAGAGATAAGTAAGTACAAGGCATTACATAATTACAAAGATGTCGCTCTAACACCAAGAGCAGCTGGTATTTATATTATTTACTGTTAGCTTTTCATCGTATGGAGTGAACAGGTAAGACATATTTTGTCTGAAATTAGGTAGTGACTTTTTTCTTCATATTATGCCTAGGAGTACGATTATCATTCAGGGGTGCAACTTTTGCATGCAGGTATTATGGCTGCATTGCATTTATGTGTAACTTGTTATATTTCACGACAGATCTAATGTGGATCAGTTGTTGTGACACTATTGTGTATTTTCTTTATTGTGCAACAATGGAGAACATGTATTCATCGGAAAGAATGTTTAAAATTCAGCAAGATAAATTAAAAAAAATTGCAATATTAAATACAATGAGAAACAGAAGATCAAATGCTTGGATCATTTAGTTAGAATGCAGTCAGAACAATTACAAGCGCAGGGGCTACACATGAACAGATTTAAGATGAAATCAAGAGGCCGTTCTAGCAAATCATGGACTGATAACATAAAGGGCTTCTATATCGACACAGAATGATAATAGCAATACCTGCCCATCATGCAAAGGATCGCAAACTGTTCCTCTCCATAACGCTTAACGGCAAAAGTGGAAATTGATGATGATAATGATTAAGAGAGGAAGAAATGAATACAAGGTAGAATTGAAGATCATATGTACTGTTCACTTGATAGTTTTATAATATGACAACTAAAATATATATCCAGGGTTTTGTCGCAAAAGTATGTATACAGTTAGGGGCGCCGGAGGTTTGGACCGGATTTTCCCCTATAAAAATACGGCTGGGAAAGGGTGGGGGAGGCTGAGATTACCGAAACAATGTGTAAAGATGTGGGGATGGGGAAGTGGGGTGGGGGAGGGGTGTATGTAAGCCCAACTAGACATAAACGTTCTCTTTCAAACATTTTTTGAAACTACATTTCATATTATTTCAGACATATTATTATATTTATTTGTCATTCAGCACCTAAATAATAATAATGATATTAATAATTACTACATGCGAAAACAACGATAAAGCTCCTTGAGCTCCATAAAAAGTATGTAAGAAGTTTACCTCCCAATGTTTCGTTGTTTGTGGTGGCCATATATATATATATATATATATATATATATATATATATATATATATATATATATATATATATATATATATATATATATGTATATGTGTGTGTGTGTGTGTGTGTGCGTGCGGTGTGTGTGTGTGTGTGAAGAATATATGGCGAACATTTTACAATGCACAATTTATATTAAAGTTAGTTGTACAGAACGCAGTAAGCAATTCCATCCTTTGTTGTCAATGCGTGATTTCCGCTAGACGATTTTACAATAAGTAATTTGCCCCTGTCCCTTAACTGTCGACGCTCAGACCATTGTGGAACTCAACGACTTCCAGTCTGCTGTCAAACCGTCAGTAGCTGAATCAAATCTGATATGTCAGAATCATGACACTTCCTTTACCACCCTTATACCACAATGGCCATTGAAAATCAAACACCATTAAAGTTTCTGGGACGTTAAATTGAAATTGATTTCAAATCAATGCTTTGTTGTGACATAAAATAGGGAAAAAACAAACCAAACAGACGAAGGACCTTATTCCACGCCTTGATGCGCATTAAATTCACGATGTTCTAGTTCTGCTGGCCTAAGCACAAATATGCTCTTACATTTGGCTGCAGAACCAACTGTACACATTGTAATTGTAACTGACTCACCGAGCATATTGAGAACGATGGAGACAGGCATTCTCCGTGCAGAGTGGCAAGCATCGCTTCAGAGGTCCCGGGTAGTTAGCGTCCTTTGGATGTTTTCTCCAGGGTATACCAGTTTGTTAATAAATGAACGGACATATAGACTGGCTGGTTCTGCACCACTTAGTGGTAAAATGATGTACGACAAACTAGATATTGTAAGGGTGCTTTGGGAGAGTGGGAACAGTGTGGGAGCAACGATGGAAAATTACGGTCTGAGAAGGATGGCGTTGCCATGAAGGGCTTACCACAGGATCTGGCCGACGCTCAACGCTCTAGTGAAAGGCGAGACGTACATACAATCAGACTGGATGCCACTAGAATTTTTATTCCTAGCTTGCTGCTGAAGATGGGAATGGGGCGCTTATGGAAGTGTACCGAGTGTTGTGATGTCAATTCTTAATTCAACATTTAATATTGTCAACACTGGAAATATTACACAGTGAAGTCCTACTCTCTTCCAAGGTGAGAGTCTGGTAGCACTACCAGAAAGCCTTACTTACTTCCTTACATACTCCCTCTCTTTCGCGCCGCTAGCTGAAGATTTTGACCACCTCGAGATAACCAAATTTCTATAAAGAATTGCAAGCCAGCGGAGCCAATTCTAGATATCTGAATAAACCTATAAAGGCGCCATAATTAGGATACCCCTGACGGCAACACCAGCCTAATGTTACAGGTAGTTCTATGCGGGTGGTGATTTTAATTGCCAGAAGGTCAATAGAACAACATTTATTATAAACTAACCCCAGCAGAAATCGAGCTGTGCTGCATGAAGGATGGTTCAGAAAACGCGGGAAAACAATGAAATCATGGTGCGTGTCAACATAAAGTGGAAGAGGGAAAATTAGCCTTACATGAGTGGGGACAAAGAAAATACCTGTAAAAGAGAGGCTTGAGTAAACAAGAGAAAATGTATGCGGGCGGTTTAATAGCTTGCAACAACAAGTAATACTATACAGCCCAAAGAAAAATATCAAATGAAAGAAAAAAAAAATTAATGATGGGATTAATTATATTAGGCTTTGCGAGAGCAGTAAATAATTCCAGTGAATAAAGAGGGAAAGAAATGACGACGGGAATAAAAAGGACATACGTTGAGAAAACCACACAACAGTATAACTAGAATGCCTTTACAGTGAAACCCACAGAAGGAAAGAAATAAAAGCAGACCAAAAACACACGAAGAAGGGAGTTAAGAGTGAGTAAAAGAGATGGGAGAAGGACATGGTGTGAACTGCATGCACAACCAAAAGATAGGACAATGTAGCTTGAGTTGGTTGAGGGCCTGTGCTCCACTGGAGGATAAATAGCAAAACAAAATTAGTAGCTCATTACACACCGGACTTAGGAAGACAAAGAACAGGAATATCCGGTGTGATTTCACAAAGAATAGGAAACTAAATAAGATAGTTAAGGAACCTTCCGTCATAAAGCAGGCCTTCAGACTGCTGAAAAAGGATAAGATTTTGAATTTTTGTTGAACAACTGGAATTGGAATTGGAGTAGCTCATTAGTTGTAGCGGAAGGAGTCGCTGCAGTGCGCATTTGTTAGATGCTTGCTTGCTGTCCGCAGGTCTTGCTGTTGAATCCGCATTGAGGCCTATTTTTGACAATGGTTTGTGCTCCCAGGCGGACCGGTCAAAGTGGGTCTCGTGACATATCGCGGGGAGGTAATTAGGTCCTTGTTTTGGTGACAACACTCTACGAAACAATCGAGTAAGGACGCTGAACAAGATCTACAGGTCTCTCCAAAACGACACTACAGGATTCTGTATAGTGGAAGAGGAGACGAGGTTAACAAAGACAGACCTGGACACAGAACTCGGCTGACTGGACAGGCCTCAAACATGCAAATATCAAGCGCACTGTATTTGAGCGATAGAGATAGAGGGAGCTGATCAGCCAACAGCAACTGGTGACCCAGCGAAACCAGCGATATGCTATTTTGGTACTATGATGATGATGATGATGACGATGATGAACTGATTGCAGTAAATTAATTTGCCATTTCTTAAAAAGATTTTTATTAGGCAACTAAATGACAAAATGAGGGTAGTGGGAGAGACTTAATTTTACACACATTTAAATTTCCCTACCTTTTTTTAAAAAAAAACTGTACATTATGTTTTCTTTGTATTGTTTTTTTTTTTCACAGACTACGATGCAATACGCCACAGGATTGATTAGCTCATCTTGACCAAATTACGGAAGCGAAGCAAATACATGTGCAAAAAAAAAAAAAAAAAAAGATCTTACTAAAAATTACATCTCACTGAACTGTTACTTTCATTTCTTAAAGGATTTTGTTCAGTCCAGTAAAACATGAAGCTAAGTGAAAAAATCTTACTTGGCTCGGCCGGTACTGCTGGGGCAGGGGTTATTGCGTGGAGAACTATGTTCCCCTGGATTCGGGATGACCTTAAGGTCATCAAATTAGTCAGGCAGATAGGCAAAGAAATTCAAGCTTCACAGTCACTTCTCATTGACAAGTTTGAAAAGTTTGCAGCACAGATTCCACACAAGCCATTCATAATCTTTGAGGATAATCTGTTCTCATACGAGCTAGTGGATCAGATGGCATGCAGAGTCGCAAATATTGTCAAATCCTGGGGTCTGGGACCACGTGACTGTGTTGCAATGATATTTCACAATGAACCAGCGTTTCTGTGGACCTTTCTAGGTAGGTGCCTCAAATGTACATTATTTCTTGTAGGAACGTGTCCTACATTTTATGTCTACTACTTTATTTGATATTAACATTGACAAAGACACTTGGGAGAGATCAGCTGCAGACTGCAGTGAAAGACTGACTGTTGCAGTTTGTAAGAGGCCAAAACACAGCAAGCTACAGAAAAGTTACGTCTGAGACAAAACCAGCCTCAGAACGATAGAGTTTCAACTTTTTTATGTGAGCTATGTGGCCGAGACTACCACTCCTGCTTTAGATTTTACAGTCATAGCAGATGCGGTTTTAAAAACAGGAGCACAACTCCGGGGTACCATGGACTAATGGTTGGCTACTTAGATCTCCGATACGTTCATAATTTGATCTGTATATTCGAGCGTAGACTCACTGTTACTGCTGTTCATCCACTTCTTGATGTTAGCTTCTCAGATGTATCGCTGTCTACTTCTTTCTCCATTGCTTTACCTTTCCCTTCTGTATGATGACTTTTAATGTGGCCGAAATCTTACCTGTCTCTGTTGTATTTCCGAGAAGAATTTTTTTTTTAATCCTAGTCTTTTCAGAACCTGTGCATTTAATTTTTTTTTCGCCCATGAAATAGGATAAATTATCCTTCCTGCATATCGGAGTCAAAGCCAACGGCGCTTTTTGTTTCTCTTTTCTTTTAGTGTCTTGTCATTTGTTGTTGTTGTGTGATTGAATCGTTCTTCTAATTTAATCCAAAAGATCGAAATTTCTTCATTTAGTTTGGTTCACTTTGTATTCTAGTTCGAAGTTAAGTGTTCTCAGTCAGCCTATTTTAAAACCTTTATTTGTTGTATGCATTGGTATTACTAATGACATTTGTGAAAACGAGATCTATGATTTGGGGCATTTTATTGTTAACACGTCACACCTAAAGCTTGATGTTGTAAACACATTTTCACAATCCCGACACACAGGGTTAAGAGACAACAGATCATGTATCCAAGACTGTCCCAAATACAACATATCAAGGCAAAACTTTTCTCCAAGAGAAACCCCTGTACAAGTCAAACTTTACGGGTCGCTGAGTGAATTACAAAACACAGTGAAGTTCAAACTAGAGACAACATTGCAGATATAGATAATCTATTTCAAACGAACGAAAGAAGAAAAAGAAGAAGAAAAGGCGGTTGCATGCGACTGGTGTTTACAAAAGAATGGGCGTTAAACTGTTGAGCAAACAATCACAAACTACTCAGCATAAAATTGCATAGAAAAGCCACGCAATAAATGGTATTCATTTGCAAAAAACAAAAACAAAAACTCTAAAGAATATGCAAATATATCAGCGAACTGCTTCCTAAATCCCCCACGAAAATTTCCATCCCTTACATAACAGCTAGTACATATTTAGCCAGTTTATTGTGTCTTCCTAACTCCTGACTCTTTCTGTCATATTTTCATCTGTGCCCTAGTTCATTGTGTCTTTCTAACTCCTGGCTCTTTCTGTCACATTTTTATCTGTGCTCCTAGTTCATTGTGTCTTCCTAACTCCTGACTCTTTCTGTCATATTTTTATCTGTGCCCCTAGTTCATTGTGTCTTTCTAACTCCTGGCTCTTTCTGTCACATTTTTATCTGTGCTCCTAGTTCATTGTGTCTTCCTAACTCCTGACTCTTTCTGTCATATTTTTATCTGTGCTCCTAGTTCATTGTGTCTTCCTAACTCCTGACTCTTTCTGTCATATTTTTTATCTGTGCTCCTAGTTCATTGTGTCTTCCTAACTCCTGGCTCTTTGTGTCATATTTTCAACGGTGCCACTATTTGTATTGTCTACTGTGAAGTAGTCAAACCGTTTGCATCGGGTGTTGAAGGGTTCCACTGTGGACTCCGTCCTTCAGTTTATGTATACAGATATTTCGCAGATCCGAGAACTGGCTGCTGGAGCTACAGACTTCCGACATTTGTGAAAAGTTCTAGCGGATTACGAGCCACTCTGTGATGAGACTGGGAGCCATATGGGATAAAATCTGGTGGAATGAAGTCGCTCCTAACGAGTTGACCACATTTTCTGGAATTCTGTGTTAGTCTTGTAAACATAATATTTACAGTCAGATTCTGTTAGTTTTATTCAACTAACATAATCAATTGAATTATACAACTTGAAACAAAAATTATTTTGCAGATCAGCCGAACAGCTCGAATCCTCAAAGTAGTGCTGTCTCCCCGCCCCTTTTTATGGTGTCAGAAAAACACATCCTAATCAGCACAGTTCGTGGCGACTACACTAGCCATGTAATGTAAAGTAACGGACCCTTTTGCACGCCTTCAGGCATGTTGGGCATGTAGGGCTAGACCGATATTTTATAGACCTATCCACCAGTCGTCTTTACTTCCCATGAATTTATCAGTACGGTAATCATTAAAGGCTGGGTCGATCTGGGGGCCAAAGTCTTTGGTGAAAATAGGTCTGGCTACACTAGTCATGAGGAGTTCTCAGATCCTCAGGCTAAACAATTCCACCCCCACGCTCCCCCGAGTGTCTTTGTTAATTAACTGTAACATAATGGAACTCACGCAGAGTAACGACTGTCAATGGTGTAGCGTCACATTCTTTAAAATTATTTAATGCAGATTATTTAACTGTCCAGTGCTAAGTATATTATGTTGAATTTTTGCAGGTCTCCAAAAGTTAGGAATCACAGCAGCGTTAATCAACAGTAATTTAAAAATGCATCCCTTGATTCATTCAGTTCTTGCTGCAAACACAAAACATGTGATTGTTGGTTCAGGTAAGGTATCAGTGTATTCGTTGTTGTCCCCCCTGTGGGTTCCGGTTCCCTACTATGGGAAAAACAAGAAAAGACCCACTGCCTACCCAAAAGCATGTCGTAAGAGTCGACTAATTGAGAGCTTCCTTCGTAGTCAGAGTGCATCTGCCTGAGAGGCAAGGAACCAACAGTCTGCATACAGATCTGTCAAACGGATGCACACGCAAAACTCAGGTTCTGGAAAAGGACTGCAGTTCAGAAGTGGACGAACAACCATAGGTTTCCTCGGGAGTTTACTGCCGGTGAACGCGAAGAAGAAGAAGAAGATTTGTTGTTGTATACACGCAGGAGATCAAGGCAAGCTAAAAAATTATGATAACTGATTAATGTGAATGCTATTATCGATATGTGTTAGGCGAATTATTTTTTGTAATGTTTTCAAATAATCTATTAAATCAAAGTGTGATTTTCAAAGAGAAATTTATTTAGAAAACAACTGGTGATGAGCACGTTAATTCACTTTCTTGTAAAATTTTCTCGAATTTTTTTTAAAGATAATAATAATCTTATTACATACAATATAAATCTCAATGTAAGTTCCGGAGTCCTGTTGTAAGGGAAAATGTCCCGTCCCCCAAATAAGCATGTCGTAAAAATGAAATAATTAGTGCTGTTTCCTTCAAAGTCGGAGTGCATCTGCCCAATAGACAAAGAACCAGCAGTTGCAAACGAGTAAGCCAGCCCTGTAAAATAGATTGTGCACGCGAAACATAACTCTTTGAGTCCCAAGGAACGCATCATACGTTCATAGGTTACTGCCTAGAAGCCCAATACACGCATGATGCGCCGATTTTACGCCTCTTTTGTTTTGACGATCTCTTGGGCCTGTTATGCTAAACCCTCTGGGACTCAAAGAGTTAAGTCGGGGAACATGACTAAAAGCCTGGTAGACGAACAATCAGAACTGAATTTAAAAGCGGTCAACACAAGACCGATATTCTCGAAGGAAATATTCATATAATGTCATTTGGGAATTTAATACATGGAAAAAGCGTAATAATTATAACACATATTTTATGGTTATTTGAAGCAGATGAACAGAGGGGTATAAATAATGTCACGTATTTTTTTAATATCCCTGTCATACACAAACCAACCCCCCTCCCCCCCCTAAAACCCCCCCCCCCCGGCAAATACAGGCAAAAAATGACAGACAATGGGCCTGCACTGGTGACAGCAAAAACTGGCATCATGGACGTAGTTTCTTAATAATAGAAATTATGTGTTTGTGAAAAGCAAGCCAAACTTACAACACAATGTATATATCATACGAACTGTTCACACCAATTTTGTGTTCTCCTCTGAAGTGAACCAGTTACAGGGAATGTATGCTGAAATTCCACTTGAATAAACCAAAGATAGGTGATACTGAAGAATAAAACTCGAATTTTTTTAGAGACAGTAAACATTTTAATTATGTCCAACATATCCAGATAGTTCAAAATTATTTTAGTCTAAATTATTCAAATTTGAGGATAAAGTTTATGAATTTACCAAGATACTAGAATTGACTTCTAGTTCCTTTAAATAAACTTAACGTCGGAATGTGTGCTTAAGAAAAAGAAGAAGAAGAAGAAAAAAAAAAGAAAAAGATATTTAAAATTAGTTATATTTTGAAATCACATTTCCGTTATCACATTTGATGACTGGAAATCTGTGCTTAACAGTATTATATTGTATATCTATTACAGGAGATGATTTGCTGGGAGCAATAACAGAGGTGCTGGACGGCCTGGGAAACCAAAAGATATACGTACAGGGATTGGGTTCTCTACCAGCGCCCACTGGTGTGCACTCGTTTGACCCTCTCTTGCAGGTGACTCTACCAGTAGCTATATCGCCAACCGTTAGGGCCGGCTTGACATTGGCTGATCTGAGCTGCTATATTTACACATCCGGTACAACAGGCAAGTCGTAAGCTCTGTTAATATAAATATAGCTCAGACCAGATTTGTCAAAACTTTTCATATTAGTGGAACACTTTCCAGACAAACATAATTTCGCGACCTATAATCCGTCAACTAACAAACCAACTAACGATTGCACTAATACCGGCACATACATTAACTGAAGTAACGAAATGTTTTATGATACAGTCTAGCTATTCTGTGTGGGTTCTGAGATCCCCACTTGGTGACCCCCTCGAAGAAGCATGTAATAGTAGACTAACTAGGAGTGTTTCCTTTAAAAGCCAGAGTGCTTCTGATTGAGAGGATAGGAACCAGCAGTCTGCATACAAATAAGCTAGACCTGTTAAACGGATATGCACGCAACACTCGAGTCCTAGAACACGACTAAAGTCTAGAGCTGGACGACCAAAGAGAACTACAGGGTAGAGTTTACATCCGGTGATCGCCAAGAAGATGAAGGCAACTTTGAACATTTAAAACTTTCAATTTATATTAAATTTTTTTTTAAAAAGAATAACTTTATTGTTGTCGTGAGGTGAGCAGCCACCCTACACAATGGACGAGTCGCGACTTTGATTTCCCTCGCGCTCAGTCAAATTTCAAACTTGAACCCGTCCGGAAAGGTATATAGTCCCTTATATTGATCTATACCTTTATCTGGTAAAATAATAATTTCTAGACCCTCTAGTTGCTTTGATAAATCTTCATTTTCAAACTTGCAACTATAGGTTGGCGAATTCTGGTATTTTATTTAGAAATTCATGTAAACCGGTTCACTCCTTAGGCAGGAATACAAGGGAACTTCTTTCTTAGAGACGCTAGTTTGATTTTGAAAAAGACATTCTTTCGCCTGATCTCAAAGAGTCTAGACGTGTATACAGTCTGTGTAGAAATTTGGCGCATTCAAAGTTCCATTTCTATCTTGGAAGATTTCCTAAGCTTGGGATGATACCTCTTTAGAGATCAGGCAGACGAATCACAGTCCAGCCAACAACCACCAACCCATACCATTCTATGCACCAAGCATAACCAGAAGTCCTGCCCTTTGTGCCACTACCTCAACATGGCAAGAGCGTGTTTGTGAGCTCCAGGACGAGTGGACATTTGCAGACATCTGTGTCATCAATCTAGAGAATCAGTCTTCAAGAGCTTGGTTGGGCTCTGAGGCAGTTTTGTGACCTGACCTGTGAGAGAGACTTGTTGAGTCCCTAGGCAGTTCCTGTGTCCTCGATGGTGAGGTAATCAACTGGTACCAGATCAACTAGAGGCATAGATACCTGAGTCAACTACAGTCGAATCACCATGGACTGAGGGGAGCATCGACCTACGAACTGGGATAAGTGGTCTATTAATTACAATCATGCTCTCTTCCCACAGCTCCTTGTGATTTCAATGATGAACTCATGTACTCCCCAAGACTACATCTGGCTGCTTCAATATCTGGGTTGTGTCATTGATTCCTGAGATCCAGTCAATGAACTCTTGTTGATCTATTCATTATTATATGTATATACTGTACTGATTACATGCACAAATTTTCATGGCTGACTTGGGTGTCCCTTTTTCACCATTCTGTCTAGCTTTGATGATTGTGTGAGCAATAAGTGTTATATGTGTTAACATGGTTATGATAGTAGACTATCATAACCTGGGGGCTATCTTTTTATAGTAGTGGGGGTGTCCAGCCAAGTGTGCCTAGGAATATTATATATTTTGTAGTGCCAAAACTTGAGTTGCCCTACTCCTGAAATAAGTTGAGCGTATATTGGCCACGGGGCATCCCTTAGACCAATACGAGCCAACGACTCAACATAATTATTTCAGAGTGCTGTTGGTTCTTAAGGAGAAATCCCTAAATCAGGCACGCGATAGGAGCGATATGTGACAGAACACATATCATCAAAAATCTGGCAGCTCGTCCGGGATTGTTTGTATACTCTGTTCAATCTTTAAAGTTGCTGGTGATCTTGGCCAGGAGGTTGTTCAGTTTTTGTATTTTGTTAACACATTGTGACCACTCTGGGTCAGTTCTTAGAATGTACTCTTAGGAGTGATTTGTGATCAGTTGTGGTATTTTGTGGTGTTTCCAGTATATTAGGTTAGGTACAAGCTTGGTGGGTGGTGATAAATTAATCTTTTGTTGATTATATTTACATTGTTGGTGACAATATATTTTGTTTGTGGACTGTTAGATTGACAAGACAGCATGTCGCAGTCAAAAATTTATATACAGGAATTGAAGGACATGGCTGTCCAGATGGGATTGGAGGGTAAGGAAATGACCGAGTGGATCAAAACCACGGAAAGTGAGATGAGGATGGAAGCTCGTGAGGCAGAATGAATCAGAATTGAGACAGAGAAGGAAACCGAACGACTCCGGATTGAATCTGAGAGGATTCAAGAAACCGAACGACTCCGACTTGAGTCTGAGAGGGAGTCAGAAAGAATGAAGCTGGAACAGGAGGTGAGATTAAGAGAATTGAAACTTCAGGCGCAGAGAGAGAGGGTAATAGACCCAGATCTTTAACACATTAGATTGACGGTGCATCAACGCACAGTAGCTCGGCTTAAGTGATGAACTTTCCTATGCCAGTCTTCGATCCGAAGGCTGAGAATATTGAGCAGTACCTAGACCAATTTGGCAAATTGGCGTCTTTGTACAATTTAGAAAGGAATATATACACGTTGAAGTTGGCTCAAGGTTTGCGGGGTGAGGCATACGAGATTTATCAGCAGATGCCCACCGGTACAGAGACTGATTATGATGCATTGTGTCAGGCTTTGCTGAAACGTTTCGAACTAAATGCTGCGACATACAGACAGAAGTTCCGAAATGAGAGAAAGTTGACAGGGGAGAACTATCCCCAGTTCGCCAGTCGCCTTCAGGGATATTTGACAATGTGGAGGGAAATGTCTGGATACTCCTCTTCCTTTAAGGATTTACAGGAGATGGTCCTAACGGAACAACTCCGAGAGACATTACCTCGCCCTATGCAAACGTTCTTGACGGAGAATGGTGCTGACCGACTGATATGTTGATGTATGCTGAGAGGTATGAAATGGCACATAAAGAGGTGTGTATAGGTGGGAAACCCAAGGCCCAGGGCCAGGGGAAGAATGGTGGAAATGGTCATAAAACCCATCCAAATGAATCCCCTAAAAAAGAATTCATCCCAAGCACAACCCAGGAACCCCTCAAAATTTCAGGGAACACAACAGAGACAACCCTTTAATGGACCTTAAAAGCCATACTGCAAAGATTGTAAGAACATTAACCACTGGACTAGGGAGTGTAAATCCAAACAGTCAGGGGGTTTGCAAGTATCAGCTTTGTTGTCTACTGTAGTACCTTCTACCCAGAAAAAGTTGTACAATGGTTCCAATAGGCCACCTGTGGTAGAGAGGGTCTGGGCTAACGGATATTTTTTAAATTGTCTATATGATAGCGGATTGTCGTACGGGGCTGTGGTGAGGTCAGAGTTTGTAAAACCTGACCAGTATACAGGCAGATTCATAGAGCTCCAATGTGCTACATTGGATGCTTAACCTTTAAACTTGCCGATTGCTAAGATTAAAGTCCGATCAAAGTATGTCTCGGGGGTAATTGAGGCAGCAGTGCTTGAACACTGTACCTTTGATTTAATTCTAGGCGCTACTTATGTATTTTTAGCAGAGCCGAAGAAACCCTCAGAGCATATTGCTGCGGTGACCACCCGAGCACAGCATAAGAGTGCCATAGAAGATTCTCCTCATGTAAATCCTCTACCTGAGGAAATCAAGGTGGCCCAAAGTTTTGACCCAACTCTTAAGGAATGTTTTAAAAAGTTAACTGCAAGTCACATTCCACCTCATAAGTAGATCAAACATCAGGTAATATCACCTTGGCACAAAGCCACAGGAATTCCGAAGTATAGAAACTTAGGCACCTTGTACACCCCCCCCCCCCCCGCCCCAACCATAAAAATTATAAAGAGTGTAAACCCTTCCCTCCCCAATACAAAAATATACGCAAGGGAGAATTCACCACCCTCTTTTTTTCCAAAGAAATAAACAAACCACACGTAGAGCTCTTTTACAGTTTTGTTTATACGTGTTTAATTATTTGAAATATATTTATTTGCATTTATTATTGTTGTTTAATTAAACAGTAAAGCAATATACAGCTATAAAGAAAAGACGAGCTCTTGTTTTGGGCCATGTGATTGGGAAGAAAAAAAGGGGAAGGGGCCCCTGAAGAATATTGTGACGACTGTGAATATCAACAGTAGAAGAGGGAGAGGTGGGCGGAGACATGATGACAGATGGATTGTAGTGTTAAAAGTAATACATCGAATAATATTTTAAGTCTTATAGTAAATCATGCTTGTTTGGTTTGCTCACAAATACAGGAACACCAAAACCGGCGTTGATATCAAATGGCAGACTTTCCAGAAGTGGTATTACTACCAGATGTCTCACATCCTTGAAACCCGAAGACAGATACTATGTAGTCTTGCCAGTGTTCCATTCTGCAGCATGGATGGCGCTTTCTGCATGCATTCAAACAGGTCTCAGCACCTTTTATTCAATTGTTTAGATTGATTGATTGGCAGCTTCCGTCTTTCCAGACGATAGTGTCATATTGCGCTATAAGGAGGCAAGGAACTCACAGCCCAGGCGATGACGAGTGTGACTAGCAAGACCAGCCCGTGTCAAGAGAAGTCTTCCACAATGATAGCATGGGATTTCAGGACAATTGTTGCCAACATTTGTGTTTAATCCGTTTTTTTTTTCATACGCTAAGCTCTCATCCTTTTTGCAGTCATTTCTTTCTTTACTCTCATATCCTTCCTGATATGCCCTTTTCACACAACACGGTCCATGGCATTTTTAGAAGATAAATCCAATATATTTACATTTTCATTGCACAGTTGAGAAAACTATTAAAAACACCTGAATTTATATAATAGGCTAACTGAAATATTCATAAAATAAATTAGAAGTTCCATTAAACAGATTGAAAAAGATAAATGCATTAAGCAAATGTGTAAACAAATACTTATGTTCCTGCAAGCATGCATTTATTGTAAAATCAATGATTTATTGTCTTTATATGTGAGCTAGCGGGAAGAGAAAACGAAAAAAAAAAAAAAAAAAAAAACAAGTAGGGAGAGAAAGAAAGCAAGGTGGTTAGGACAATAATTAGCACCTCGCTGTTACTCACAGCCCCAGCAGTGAATATGTGGATAATGAGTTTAACAACCACAATATATGACTACATGGTCAACGCTCAGTTACCACTTGTACGAACTACAAGCTCTATCTGGAATCAAGCAAAGGAATATAATCATCACATTCAACATCTGTATATTTTTTGTGAACGCAAAACTAACATTCTTCAACGATAATGATACATTAACAGTCAACATTGTGAGCACACAGATGATGTGCTGTGCAAGATGTCAAGATGTGCAGCAATGTCACTCATAGTATATCGACGATTTTTCTGTACTAGGACTTCAACGGCTGCCAACGTGTCTGGGGTCAATACTCGATGTGCCTGACCCCATTGTGAACGGTCTATCATGGAAGTTACGCCGTTTCGAAGCCTCCCAATCCTCTTACACTTGCTGGACTGAGAGGGTGAATGTCAAAAGTAGTGCGGCCATCTTTAATGTGTCATTATGGCGTCACCCTGTTCGTCTGCACGGTGATGTCACTCGGTAAACATGTTTTGAAAACCTTAACAAAAATATTATCAGGTTACAAGACAATGACATGGTTATTGTAATTTCTATCAAACTTGTACGGTTTTCATTGGATGTTACTCTAGATAAAAGCTATGAGTGAACGAACGAACGAACGAACGAACGAACGAACGAACGAACGAACGAACGAACGAACGAACAATAAGTAGCTATAGACCAACTTAGGCGGTGAACATTGAGTACAGACGAGTTATTTGTCTGGGACCTAGCTTTCTAAAATACATGTACCTGTAATTATGAAGTGATCATCGTCCGGAAGGAATTGCCACAACTCTGTATAACTCATCCCTATTTGCTGCCTTTATGGTTTGTTTTATTTTCAGTAGCTAATGTAACGCATAATTAATTTTATATATATATACATACATACATACATACATCCATCCATCCATCCATCCATCCATCCATCCATCCATCCATCCATCCATCCATCCATCCATCCATCCATCCATCCATCCATCCATCCATCCATCCATCCATCCATCCATCCATCCATCCATGCATACATACATCCACAAATCCATAAATCCATACAGACATCCATAAATCCATACAGACAGACAGACAGACAGACAGACAGACAGACAGACAGACAGACAGACAGACAGACAGACAGACAGACAGACAGACAGACAGACAGACAGACAGACAGACAGACAGACAGACAGACAGACAGACAGACAGACAGACGTACGTACGTACGTACGTACGTACGTACGTACATACATACATATATATATACGTAAATAATTGTTGTTATACAGGTGCAACTGTCGTGTTGAAGCAAAAATTTTCTGCGAGTCAGTTTTGGCCAGACTGCAGACGACATAAAGTTACAGTGATACACTACATCGGGGAGCTGTTCAGATATCTCATTGCTCAACCACCGGTATGTTTATCAGCACTTTGATATAGTTATTCAATGCTGTAGCTAAATTTATGTCCGTTTCGTTAAGTCAGCGTTAAGTAGGTCTCCCGCACACATAAATGGTTGAAACTGAGGGATAGGCAAATTGAGCCCGCTGAAAAATCATTTAGTAAACACATCCCCTTAGTAAAATGTCTAGGAGTGTTTGTTGGGAGATGGGAGGTAACAGCCTCTTAATACCATGAGCCTTTTGTCCATTTGTTTATACATTTCAAATTGTATACATGTATGAAAATATATAAATACGGATATTGTAGTGTTGACTACATCACCTACCGAGTGCCGACTGGTTGTGAAATATGTTCAGCCCTCTGTGCCTAATAAGCCAGGGTCCAAACATTTTACGGAATTTCGTCCCCTGTGCTGCCTTTTCGGCTGCCGAATTTGCTTTTGCGGAAACACCCAAGAGGAGAGGCTGACAAATGGATTGCTTGCACTCGCCCCTTCCCCTCCCACCACTCCCCAAATTGAAGTCCGCAGGATTACCGCACCTTGATTATGAGAATCCTACATGTAAAAGTCCCATTACAATAGCCAGTGCTAACCAGTGTGCAATAGATCGCAAATTATTCCTACCTACCTACGACTGGCTCCGGGGCCTTCCTGTGGTGAAAACAAGAACAGACCACGGTGATGGCACCAGTCATGCAGTTTTAACTTCTCAGGCTGACGCATCCCAGATTTAGGCATAAGCTTCACCAGCTACACATTTGGGCCTCACAACATGCAAGGGCCTGCGCAATTCCTATTTGTTTTTTCTTGAATCAGTTTTCTTTTAATATATGTTGCATTTTTGAAAATAAAGCATTTTGGAATATTATAGATAAATATACACACACACACACATATATATACACGTACATATATACATACATGTATACATACATACATACATACATACATACATACATACATACATACATACATACACACACACACAAATGCTATGATGTTGCAAACACATTCTTTGTAATTTAACGCAAATATATTTCCATTTTCCCTATATTTAGGAGGTGCATATATTTTAGTTTTCTGAAATTAGCTGGTGTAATTTAAAACGGTATCTCCTCTTGGTTTTACATACTAAAGGACCTCATCTAGTCTAAATCTGACCCTGGGACCATGGACGAACCTCCCTTCCCCTGAGATCCCACCCTGCCTATACCACCAAGTGGAAAATAGAGGCAGTACAGATTATATATATATATAATCAGGCCTGTTTTCTGTATGTATGAAAATATTCTGTTGAGATTACTTGGAGACAAAGTCTGTTGTTAAAGTAAACTATATAATATATTCTGACAGAGCGAATTAGATACTCAGCATAGTGTCCGGGTGGCTTTGGGAAACGGTCTCAGGAAGGATATATGGGTGGAAGTAAGCAAGCGATTCAAAATTCCATTGATTGCCGAGTTTTATGGGGCGACAGAAGGTGTCACTGCCATTTGTAATATTTTCAACAAGCCTGGCGCAGTTGGAAGATTATCCCCTTTACTGGTAAGTAGAAATGAATTATATTATTATTCGGTTTATTAATTTACTGATTAAAAAATTGAGATCACAGCACACCGGTCATACCCATGAGTGCTCCGTCTCCCGCAGCATATGTTTTACGGTGTAGATGCTAACTGTTCCTGTAGCATACTGATTATAAACTAGTCGTTCTCTTCCTCTCACACGTCTCTCCTTGCCTGATACACACTGTCACCAACTGCAGGTGTAATAGTATGAAAATAGTGTCTCCATTTGTTCAATTTTGACACAACGGTGCATTCGAATTCGCTCATGTGTTTACATTAGAGTGTCACACAAATCACAAACTACATAGCATCATTGACGATCACATCGACATCTTGGTTAAGTTTTCTAGAGATCCCATTTTTTCCCGTTGCCTTGTTCCCAGCGCGGGTTACAGACGAACTTCATCACAAACTTGGCATGCAGGCACGTTTTAAGTAAGAAGAAACTCCACAGGGGAGCATGTACAGCATGGATATACCAATCATCAGTAGAAGTAATCTCTCGTCGACAAATGTTTCGGCCCACGACCTCCTAGACATTTTCAGAGAGTGGGCCCACCTGAGTTCATGAAGCTCAGTGTTGGTTTCCCTGCTGCACGAAAATTACCGGATGTTGTTCGGATAGGAACAAGACGAATTGGTGATTTTGCAAAAGGTACTGTGAGATAAGAAGTCGTCGCGGTAGCATAATTAAAGCAGTCTGAACCTGAACGACCAAGCTTACCATTGGTATACCAGACACATGTTGGACTTTTGTTAGCAGGTGGCATCGGAACACTTTTATAATTGACCCTTTCAAACACTCATCTTTCAAACAACAGTTGTAGTTATCTGTTAAGCATGTTATATTCATATAACAATATACATACTATGAATATCAAGTAAAATCAGCAAAGGCACGGGTAGTATATTCATACATACATACATACATACCTACCTCCACCTACATACCATACCCTATACCACCTACCTCCATCCTACCTACGTACGTACGTACCATCCATACCATACATACATCATACATCCATCATACATCATACATACATACATCATACATACATACATACATACATCCATACATACATACACTACATACATACATACATACATACATACATGCATGCATGCATGCATGCATGCATACATACATACATACATACATACATACATACATACATACATACATACATACATACATACATACATACATACATACATACATACATACATACATACATACATACATACATACATACATACATACATACATACATACATACATACATACATACATACATACATACATACATACATACATACATACATACATACATACATACATACATACATACATACATACATACATACATACATACATACATACACTGTACAGAGATACAGAAAGAATAGACATACATAGATAGAGTGAGAGATAGAGAAAGAAAGAGAAAGAGAGAGTGAGAGAAAGAGCTGATTTTGATATAAACTATTAGGATAACTGACAAAGCTATAAAAATGGACGAGGATAGAGAAAAAATAATGTGCGGCTGGAAGGACGATGTCGTACTGATAGCAGTAGTAAATGTTACCCCACCAGGACATCACACAGAGCGATAAACACCGGTGACACAAAGTGCCACCATGCTGATGAGGATCACCCGTAGAGAGGTCCCGGAAACCGCGTTCAACCGTCAGGCTATGTTGCGGCCCCTGGCAAAAAGCTAGGGTATGGTTTCAGAATACCTACAAATTACATCCCCCAAGGGGGTGACGTTGAATTATTGTCGTACTGAGTATTGCACAGCTATTTATTATACAAACTTTATTGCAGAATAAACTAGATGAATACCCAAAAGCGCTTGTAAAATTCGATTATGCAACTGCCGTACCACTGAGAGACAAAAATGGGCGATGCATCAGAGTTAGCGTTGGTGAGTTTTCTATTACGTATCACTGCGCAACGTTATTTTAATGATAGGTATAATGATAGTGAGATTGTGCATAAAACCTACTACTTGATGATGCTGTTCAGAGCGGAAGATAACCTTATGTTGGCAGCTATGACCAGAAACATGGAACTGAAAAGTTCTGTAACTACGACTTGGTCTTTTTAAATGATTTGTCTGTCACGTATGCATGTCATCCGTCTCCACCATTACATGCACATTTTTACGTCCGTCTTTGTATTTCCGGCATCAATCCCTCACAGAACTGATACTCAAAGCGTTATCACCGTACATACAACGCAACTGGCAATCTCTCAACGGCATTTTGACTGCCTGTTTAAAGAAAATGAGATCACACCACAATTTTTACTGCTGGCGGGAGAGGCAATAACAGTGACCATGCATATTCGTTCACGATTCATAGCTACAGGGCTACTGAACGATGCAAGCATTGAACGTGTCGATTGGCAAACGTTTTTTTTTAAAACCAGCCAATCGAATGCTGATTTTGGATTGACCCTCGTACAGTCAAAGCCAGATTAAACGTTATGCGCGCTAAATACGTGCTTAGGGATCACAAAGGGATCACAAGACAAAACATATTTTCAATCGCCTTAGCGTGTTAAGCGTGCATTTTATCGGAAGATGTGTTACATAAAATTTGTTAGAGTATCTGATTGTTTGTTTTAGTATCCAAAAGCCATGAGTTGTTAACCCTTAGGCTCGGTATTATGGATATCGCAACCTTTCGGCCTTGATTCCGTTGTAAATACCGTAAATCTGGGAGAAATGTGGCTTTTCTGCCTACCCCCGGGAGTGAACCCGGACCACAAGCAGTTCGTCACCCGGTCACCGCGCAATCCGGTTTAGCCAACTAGGCTAGAGAGCCGGGCTAGAGTATCTGATAAAAGACACTGCAATTACAAAATGTAGAAGATACTTTTTGAACATAAGTAAATTTGAGGCAAACGTAAATGGACAATATTTCCCATCTTACTAAAAGTTGTTTAATTTCGATAAATAAAATGTTTTTTTTTAATGGTCTTGTATTCTTTATCTTTTGAACCACATATAGGCTATATCAGAGTACCAGTGCCGTCTCAAACACACAGGCCCCTTGAGCACTTACCAGGCAGCCTCACGAGCATAGGCGTCCCATGCTAATCTATGAATGTCAATCAAGCCATCAAGTTATATTTAATGACTGTGAATGGACGTCGTAGGGGCCCCACCAGCACACTGGTTTTCCGTAGGGACCTTGGTGCTGTGATTATGGCTGGGGGGGGGGGCCTTTTAGTTGCTGGGTTGGGGGAGGGGGGAGGCACCAACACCTTTAAAGTTCTGGGGTGGGGTGAAGGCACTCAAATATTTTAAGTGATCAAAGAATGTTTACCTGGTCTGGTTACATTGCCAAAGCTCAACTTTTTCATTTTATTGTCATTTTCTTTTCACAGAACAATGACCAATATGATGTTTTGTAAACATATTGAAATATAATATTCTTAAAGGTGAGCCCGGTCTGTTCATAGCCAAAGTTCCAGAGTATCTAATCCAAAATGGACAGTTCCGGATTTACCAAAGTTCAGCAGAAGCCAACGAAGCCAAACTTGTAAGGGATGCCTTCGAGCCAGGAGACATCTACATGAACTTCGGCGATGTCCTGGTGTTAGGATAAAGATTACTTCTTGTATTTTCAAGACAGAATTGGTGATACATTCAGGTGCGTACCCGCATATGTTTACTGAAGGGTAAGTGCGATTATTTCTTAACAGTAGTTTTTGTCAACGCTGTGTATCGACAAAAAACAGTCTGAAAATATGCCTAAGTCTGTTTATATTGTGGTTAAAATAATAATAATAATGATTACTGTCTCATAACACCCAGTATCTTTAGGTCACTAGTTGCTGTTGACAGTCTGTCTAATCAATGCCCACCACCTCTGTCGATCAGATACAATTTGCACGAACCTCTGTCCGGTCAGTCAAATTCTGCATGAAGAATCTTCTACCCATTTACCGAACCTTGTAGTATCATTTTAGTGAGGCCATTAGATCTTGTTACAGACTGTGGCATTTACCGACTTTCACTGTTGCCGAAAGAACAAGTTGCAACTATAGCACCGTGAATTTTAGCTGTTCACTAGTGTAGAGGGAGATTCGACATAACGTTTCGCCAGAGTTTGCAGCTGGGGAACGCTAAGAAAAAGAATATTCCATGAGCCCACCATCGTGCAGGTCTACTTTTGCCTCTTGTATCCGGTACCGTGCCATTCACTTTTGTTCTTTCCAAGGCACACTAAAACAATACACGCCCTTTATGTATTTATGGAGCATACTATCATTCAATGGAAATAAATGGAAGCAGAATAAAATACATGTGTAATAATGCAAATCAAACTATTGGACAGATGGCACATATATTGCAAAATGAAGCAATTGAAACCAAACTGGGTTCCAGTGTTAAACGAGGACTTGAGCAACAACAACAACAACAACAACAACAAAAAATTGAAAGAATAAAAATTAATTCTCTGTGATAAATCCTAAATATAACTAGAAGAGACAGGATCAGAAATAAAGATATCAAGAAACAAGTTAAGACACCACAATGGAAGGGGAGCAAACGATGAATAGATGGAATATTCGAGGCCGTAAATACTAGCACCTGTGTAGTACACACCGAGGCTCATTCCCAATGTATTTTCTTAACCTGACCCTGAAAGACAGAACCGCACTAAAGAGGAAGAAGGAGAATAAGATGATGATGATGATAAATTGTATGAGTTAATTATCAAGCCAAATATCAAATTAATTTTATTAAATAAAAAAAAAAAAAAAAAAAAAAATGAGAAGGTTAAATGTACATACTGTTTTTTCATTACCCCGGAGCGTTAATTAATGTATAAGCTGTTTTCTGTGTTACTTTTATTGAGAGTTTTCCTTTATTGCCATAGATGGAAAGGAGAAAATGTGTCTACGACAGAAGTTGCCAACGTAATCACGGCGCTAGAGTTTGTTCATGATGCAAATGTTTATGGAGTAGAAATCCCGGGTAAGTATGTTTTAAGGATTCAGTAATTTCATTTGATAGCAGAACATGATAGTTGCTGCAGTATGAGAGAATGTCCTATTTGATCTTTTTTGCACATTATAACAGAAATAAAGACCCAGTGGTCACATTTAAATGTTGTTACTATGAAATGTTTAGAAGACTTCTTTCTTCATTTTTCAATATATTTTTGTAGAAGATCTGCTTTGTGGTGGCCGAGACAGGGTGTCATCCATTGCTTGGCATGCCACGATGTTGTGGTGGCCGAGGCAGGGCGTCATCCATTGCTTGGCATGCCACGATGTTGTGGTGGCCGAGGCAGGGCGTCATCCATTGCTTGGCATGCCTCGATGTTGTGGTGGCCGAGGCAGGGCGTCATCATTGCTTGGCATGCCTCGATGTTGTGGTGGCCAAGGCAGGGCGTCATCAATTGCTTGGCATGCCTCGATGTTGTGGTGGCCGAGGCAGGGCGTCATCCATTGCTTGGCATGCCTCGATGTTGTGGTGGCCGAGGCAGGGCGTCATCAATTGCTTGGCATGCCTCGATGTTGTGGTGGCCGAGGCAGGGCGTCATCCATTGCTTGGCATGCCTCGATGTTGTGGTGGCCAAGGCAGGGCGTCATCAATTGCTTGGCATGCCTCGATGTTGTGGTGGCCGAGGCAGGGCGTCATCAATTGCTTGGCATGCCTCGATGTTGTGGTGGCCGAGGCAGGGCGTCATCAATTGCTTGGCATGCCTCGATGCTGTGAAAATATTTTCGCTGTCAATGGCCCTCTGAGTCTTCTTCTAGATCTCGTTCTACCACTTGATAATTCCATTTTAATTTAGAGCGTTCTCGCTGCCATAATCTTCTGATTAACATTAGGTGGCCTGAACAATTTCAGTACTGTGTGAGTGTTTTTTTTTTTGGGGAGTAATTTTTTTTACCACGATTGTAACCATGGGTATTATTCAAGTCGTTTTCTAATCCCTTCATCTCTGATACGATTTCTTCTGTTTTTGTTTGCAGCATTTCTCAAACATCTTATTCCTCAGGCGATTAGTTGTCTCTGGAGCGAAACATTATCTTAAAAAAAAAAAAAAAAACCCAATACGTCAATTTATAAAAGAGATCAATAAATGACTTTGAAAAGAAACAACCGTGAAGTCAGTTTTAGAAGAAACACTAGCATATTTTGTACCAGTGGCTGACTAAAATAAGACCAGTAGATGCCAGTAATCATAACAAGGCAGTTAACAGCACTAGTCATGTTTTGAGGTTAGACATGCTTATACCAATACAAGGGTAAATGAAACCAGAATATAACTAGTGCAATGGTATCAAGAAAGATATGATATCACGTGGCAACATGTTTCTAAAAGAGTATGACAAATTCTTTTCAAAGTTGGTAAATGATCTAAGCATAAAATAATATCAACGAAATTGTCAGCGAGTAATCATTTTTTAATTAAATGTCACAGGTAAGGAAGGACGAGCTGGAATGATGGCGCTGACCTTAAATGAAGGACACAAGCTGGGTCCAAAGGAACTGAAGGAGTTGTACGAACATGTATGCCAGGAGCTTCCATCTTATGCCAGGCCGATTTTTGTACGTCATCTTGACAACGCAATCATTACTAGCACGTTTAAGCAACAGAAATTTGATCTCGTTAAAGAAGGTTTTGACATCAACAAAGTAAAGGATCCACTGTACTATCTGGACTCAGAACGTAGCACCTACAGTCCCCTGTCTGCCAGTGACCTGACCAAGTTCATATCATCCCGACTGTAAGCTGTAAACTCACCTTGCTTGCATTAAAACTGAAATATTAGATAGTTGTTGAACACGCGTGTACGATCTTGTGAGTGATACATAGAAAGCGAACAATGCACTGTTTTATGTTATACTGAACTCTTATCAAGGGTAAACGTCAAGCTTGAATAAATTTGTCCTTTAAAGATACGTATGCATCTATAGACTCGGAATCTTGGGAATGTGGTATCTTGAAAACTCCCTACACCCCCCCCCCCCCCTTTCCACCCGTTGGAGATATAATTTTTCTTGGAGAACACCCTCTACCAACCATATATAGATATTCTATTTTTAAGCATTTGTTTATATATTTAATATTGTTTGAAATGCTTTTTTTTTTGCCATTCGCGGCATAATAATAATAATAACAATAATAACTATTTTTATTGTTATTATTGCGTAATTAGTGATTAGTGAGGACTTCATCCCATCACTCCGGACAGATACATAGGTGCTCTGATCTGCTCCTTCTCAAAATATGCACAAGCCTAACACGACTGATCACGTCCCTTCTGCTTTGATTAAAGAGATATCTTGTGCTCTCAGTAAAAATGTTCATGTCTTGTTGCTCCAGGCTGCACTACCATATCCACCAGCCTAGGTAATAATAAGAAATCCTACTTATTCATGGTGATTTTCTTCGTCATATGCATCTCGCATGACATTAAAGGCATTCCTGTCCAGTGCGGGGGAAGTCAAGCGGCGTCCGTGGCTTAGGCGTTGCGAGTTCGACTCGTAATCCAACGTACCGCGATCGAAACCCACTACTGGCTGCTTGGATTTTTATCATGGTTTGGGGCGTCGCAGGTCGACCCAGCCTAAAATGGGTACCAGGATGACTAACCCGGGGAAGTAAAGACGGTCGGCGTAATGCTGACCACATTACCCATCCAGTGCCGATTGTTCTGTAAAAATATGGGACGTTCTTCACATATACCCCGATGCCCCTAAAGCGTGAAAAGGGATCTTTACTTTACTTTACTTAGTGGGAGAAGCCATAGCAACCGCCTTTCGCTCCCCCCCCCCCCCTAGATATTCTGCACGCTCATTGCATCTAACACCCGCAAAACCTGACACAAAGATAACGATTTGGCGAATTATTCATGATGGAAATGAGAGAATCCATTCTTGTCTGATGAAAACTGGGCCGGGTTTTCTTGAGCGTGTTCACTGGGTTAGTCGACATACGCACATGTGAAAATTCCTGAGTACCCAGCTATGCCATTGCCAATGTTGCAGCCATAGCCTACATTGCCAGTCTGCTGGTTGTCAACAAAGGAGTCACTCATCTTCTTGATGGTTTTTCTCTTTGCGCTCACATTGAATCTTTAATTTATCACTCAAACAAGGCTTGAGCCCCAGAACAATAATTTTTTTGAACACGTTCAAACAAGCAATTGAATAATAACAAAAATAACACATTAATAAAAAATATATTATTTTTGCGCACAAATAAAGGAGAAGGGCGCAGAGCCCTCTTCCCCCCCAATGTTTTCCCTTTGGAAGCGCCCCTGTCTTCATCCCTTCATCGGACAGTACCCTAGGCAACAGCTTCCTTGAACTGAAGACAGCAAAAGTTGCAAAAATACATTTTAAATATTAATCAGAAATACGAATTTCTTTCAAATATTATCCACGAAAATGAATAGGGTCTGCGTGGTCTCGAGGCATGGTGTCCACCTCGAGCGCTAGAGGTTCCTGGTTCAATACCCGGTAAGGACTGGGATTTTTTCATGTGGACTTGGACATAGTAATTCCCCTGGTCTCTGGGTAGTGAGATCGGACGCCCGTGTGCATTGTTGCGCACGTAAAAAAAATCCCTTGGCAGTTGGAAATCGAAAAGAGTAGCCTAACGGCGCTGCCCGGGCAAAATTTGGAGTTAAAAATCTAACCATAGTATTTCAGGATCCTTGCCGGTGCTTCAGAGCTGAGCTTCTTTGGACTCAGACTTGAGTTAGAAGAAGAACGGAGCACGTATGGGTTACTACTCATGTGCCATGATGTTGATCCGTTGTTAAAACCTCATGAAAATGATTTCGGGTATTAAATTAATGAATCGTCCTGAACTGAACTTCAATGGGAAAAAATATAATTTGAAATGAAGAGTAAAAAGAATTAAAGTAAACTGTATATTTCTTCCTCTTTCTTTCTCTGACCTCCCCTTCTAGTAGTTAGTTTTATGTTTGACGATGTTCTATTATTAGTTTAATATCGAATAATTTTCGACTGTGAGTTTCATTGTTGATGATGTTCTGTTGTGAGTTTCATGTTTGATGATGTTCTATTGTGTTTTGAAAGTACAAAGCAGCTTGATGCCGCATTTGTTTACAACAGCACAAGAGAAGGAAAAGATGTTAGAAAATAAAATCAATCTTGATATGTTAGTGTCATGGAGGTGTAGCTATGGAAGCACTAGCACTTCTAGTACAATCAACTTCTACACCCAGCGACACTTGCTGCTAGTGACGGAGCCTCTATGGGTATGCCTAGTATGCTATGATGTAGATTTTTTAAACAGTAGCTAGTTAGACTGAAACAATGATGTATGCAATCAGTTCGTTTACTTTAGGCATATTTCCAGTTCCCACTTTTTAAATGCTCAACATTACAGGACACCGTGCAGCTGTTGATGACTAAATATCTACAAATGTTGATGTTTTTAAGTCAGCAACATTCTACTACTCAGGTTAATCATTATAATTTTTATGTTTTGTTAGTTAATCTTTTTTGAATTGACTTTTTGTGATGACTTTTTTTTTTAACTTTACATTTTTTCTGTCATAAATATACAGAGTAAATAAAGGCTTGACAGTACTCCTATATGTAGTTATTCAATCACTTTTTGTGTATGCTGCGCGCTGGATAGATAGGGAGTAGCAACACTATTGCTAAATGCACACTCATGAGGATCAACTTGATTTTTGTTTGTTTGTTAGCTCAGGAACTGACGTTTAAGTCGTTTGGTCTGTGGTGTAGTTGTGCTAGGCAGAAAGGGGGAGGGGATGTCCTGCAGTTTTTCTTGCCATCAGTAGGCTTCCTTAACAACAACAACAACAACGACAACAACAGTAACAACGACAACAACGACAACAGCAACAACAACGACAACAGCAACAACGACAACAACAGCAACAACGACAACAGCAACAACGACAACAGCAACAACGACAACAGTAACAACGACGACAACAGCAACAACGACAACAGCAACAACGACAGTAGCAACAACGACACTAACAGCAACAACGACAACGACAGCAACAACGACAACAACAGCAACAACGACAACATCAACAACGACAACAACAGCAACAACGACAACAACAACAACGACAACAACAGCAACAACGACAACAACAGCAACAACAACAGCAGCAACAACAGCAACAGCAACAACAGTAAAAACGACAACAGCAACAACGACAACAACAGTAACAAGGACAACAGCAACAATGACAAAAGCAACAACGACTACAACACAAACAACAACAACAACAACGACGCAACAACAGTAACAACGACAGCAACGACGCAACAACAGTAACAACGACAGCAACGGCAACAACGACAACAGCAACAACGACAACAACAGCAACAACGACAACAACAACGACAACGGCAACAACGACGCCAGCAACAACGACAACAACAGCAACAACAACAGCAACAACAATTGTACTGTTTACCACTACATCACCGAACAAGTATAAAGGAAACATGTTGTGACGACTTCTTAGCTTCACGTTCACAACAACAACAGTAACAACTCTAACAACGCAGCATTCAACAGCTTGTTGGTTGTTCCACACTTCTGAACTTTAATCTTGATCCAGAACACGAGTGTTGCGTGCAAATCAGTTTTATAGATCTGACTTATTTGTATGCAGTTTGTTGATTCCTTGTTTTCAGGCAGATTCACTCCGACTTCAAAGGAAGCCGCTAGCTAGTTAACTCTTAGGACATGCTTGTTGCGGAGGCAGTAGGTCTATTGTATTTTATTGGTAGAGCATCTGTCTAACTATCTATCTATCTATCTATCTATCTATCTATCTATCTATCTATCTATCTATCTATCTATCTATCTATCTATCTATCTATCTATCTATCTATCTATCTATCTATCTATCTATCTATCTATCTATCTATCTATCTATCTATCTATCTATCTATCTATCTATCTATCTATCTATCTATCTATCTATCTATCTATCTATCTATCTATCTATCTATCTATCTATCTATCTATCTATCTATCTATCTATCTATCTATCTATCTATCTATCTATCTATCTATCTATCTATCTATCTATCTGTCTGTCTGTCTATCTATCTATCTATCTATCTATCTATCTATCTATCTATCTATCTATCTATCTATCTATCTATCTATCTCTATCTATCTATCTATCTATCTATCTATCTATCTATCTATCTATCTATCTATCTGTCTGTCTGTCTGTCTGTCTGTCTGTGTCTGTCTGTCTGTCTGTCTGTCTGTCTATCTATCTGTCTGTCTATCTATCTATCTATCTATCTATCTCTGTCTGTCTATCTATCTGTCTGTCTGTCTATCTGTCTGTCTGTCTGTCTGTCTGTCTGTCTGTCTGTCTGTCTGTCTGTCTGTCTGTCTGTCTGTCTGTCTGTCTGTCTGTCTGTCTGTCTGTCTGTCTGTCTGTCCGTCTGTCTGTCTGTCTTTGTTTATCTGTCTCTCTGTGTATAATTCTTTCCATTGTGTAACCTAGTTATGCACTAAAGCAGACTAAACGCGGTTTACTTTTTCGCTTAGCCAGTTTAAAAAAAAAAAAAAAACTGGTAGCCAGCTGGAGATAACATAACTACTGTTAAAGTTCAAGGGCCCTGTGCATAATACAGCCAGAATAAATAACACATTGGACTAACCTAATGTAAGTCACAAATTATAACGCAGGGAGAGATTATTTACAGATAGCAGCTGGTCATTCTCTGCATGACGAATGCTG